TCGTAATAGTGTTAAATTGCCTATTAATTCGTGAATCTCCCAAAAAAAAAAATTAATATATTCAAAAGAAAGAATTTTATGCTGTAAAACTATTTTTCTCAATCAACCGGCAAATGTTAAGTGCGTAAAATTTATTATTGTTATGCAAATTACGAAATTTTTTTATTTTCAAATATTATATTTTAAAATAATTTTATAATCAAAATTTAAAAAATTTACTTAAGTACAAAATTAATTATTATTGTTTATATTTTCCAAAATGTTAATATAATTCTTAGCAAGAATTCAATTATTTTTCTAAACAATAAAACTATTTTCAGGAATTCAATTATTTTCAAAACAATTCAAATATTTTTATAAAATTCATTTATTTTCTAAAATTTTAATCAATTCTTCGAAATAATTCAACTATTTTTAATTTTTATAAATAGTATAAAATATAAATACTAAAATTCTTGGCACAAATTAAATTATTTTTAATCTAATTTAAATAAAATTACAAAAAAGAATTCAATTATTATCAAAAATTTCCATTTTTATTTCAAATTCTGTAAAAATAATTGAATTATTCAAAAAATATTTTTACAGGAATTCAATTATTTTCATAAATTCATAATAAAACTTATCGCAGACTTTCAATTTTTTAAAAAATTTTTAATCCAATTTTAATGGAATTCCTCAAAAAATGTAATTATTCTCAAAAATTTTATTAAAATTCAGCAAAGAAATTCAATTATTTTAAAAACTTTTGCTACAATTTATTTATTACAATTTAAGTATTATTTTCAATACATTTTTAATTAAATTTCTTCAAAAAATTGAATTATTTTCATAAATAATAAAATTCTTTGTAACAATAAAATTTTTTTCAAAATAATTTTCATAAAATTCTACGTAGAAATTTAATTAATTTCAAAAATTTGTCAAAATTCAATTATTTTCAATGTCTACTATTTCAATAACATTTCACAAAAGAATTCAATTATTGAAAAAGTAATTTAAATAATGTTCGTCTCAGGAATTCAATTATTTTCAAAAGTATTCTAATTCTTCGCAGAAATTCAATTATGTTTGAAAATTTTAAAAAATTCTCGTCAAAATTTCAATTATCTATATAAAAAATAAAATTCCTTTCCGAAATTCAATTATTTTCAAAAATTATAATAAAATGCTTGGCAGAATTTCAATTATTTTTAATACAATTTTCATCAAATTTCTCAACAAATGAAATAATTCTTAAAAATTTTATTAAAATTTGCTAAGAAAATTAAATTATTTAAAAATTTTGGTGATAAAATTCTTTATATGAAAATTCAATTTTAAGAAATATTTAATTATTTAATAAAATATTTATTTTTGTAGTTAAATAATTAAATTCCTGTAGAATTTTCTAATAAATATTGATTTAAAAATCAATTGCAGTTAAAATTTGAGATTATAATAGAATATTGAAAGCAATAACGTGGATTTTTAGAAATAACTGAATTTTCAAAAGGTTTCAAATTAAAAACACTGAAAATTTGAACTTTTCATACTTTTAATTAAGAATTCTGTAGAATAAATTTTTTTCAAAAAGTTTAATGGAATTTTTTGTAATTATTTAAAGTTTTTAATTTCGAGAAAAATTAATTGAGGACTGTCAGAATAATCAAAATTTCATAAAATTAAATTGTAAAAAAATTTTGTAAATTCTCAATAATCGTAATGATGAAAATAATTTTTGAAGAAGTTACAGTAACAAAGTAGCAAGTTTCAATTATTATAATAATAATAATACTCTTATAGATTATTGAGTTTTAAATTTTTGAAAATTTTAATTTCTATATGAAAAAATAATAATGATTAAATATTTATTTAAAAATGAAGTTATTGATATTTTCGAATAATTTTCGTATTAAAAACCTGGAAAAATTCCGTTTTTTAACCTGGAAAACCTGAAAAAATCAGGGAATTTGAAAAGAGCAAAAGCGTGGTAACCTTGATTATTCAATAAATTATTTATTTTTGTATTTAAATAATTGAATTCTCACAAAAAATTTTTTTTCTTTTACTGTCAATTAAAAAGTTTTCATTTTCAATTTTACACAAAATATTTTCACTTTCTATAAAAAAAAAATTCACTTACAATTTCAATCAAAGAATTTTCACTTCTAAAAAAATTTCTTAATTCCAATTTTGCCAACAAATTTAAAATTTATCAAAAAAATATTTTCACTTGCATTTAAAAACTGTAAAACATTGAAAAAGAGAATTTTTTTAATGGAGGTGAATATTTTTCGATTGAAAGTGAAAATATTTTATGTGTAATTTAAATTGAAATTTTTTTTTGTGAAATTGAAAGTAAACATTTTTTTTTGGTGATAAGCTGGCGTTGACTAACTTATTGATAATTTATTATAATATAAATAACTTAATTAAATTATAAAAAAGTTCTAAATTAAAATGAGTATAGCAATTTATTTTAAATCAACCTGGGGTTGTCTAGCTTTTTAATTAACTTATAAATAATAATAAAGGTAAAATAAACAATAAATAAATAATAAATAAAGGTAAATATAAATAGTAAAAAAAAATAATTATTTACTTACCTTTTGAGTGCGCATAGATACAAGACTGTCAAAAAATGAGAACAGGATACAAGGTGTTATTTTTAAATAAAAAGAAAACGTCAAATAGATTCACTAGAAGTTTATTTCGTCACTGGTGACAATTATAGATGTGTGATGTACAATGTACCAATACTTCGTATTTTTTGTCTCTAATATATATATTTATTTCTTTATATTTCATATATGTATAGTTTCGTTCTTTTCGTTCCTTCTATTTTTTTTTCTTCGATAGCATACAAAAGGATACAGGCACACAAATATCAAATATGCAACTCGTTATACATAATTTTTTTTTATCAATTATTAATTACACTCACGGTGGTAACCATTAAAAGTTACATACGCAATATAATACAAATATTTACAATGAAAAAAAAGCGCGATTATCGCTTCGCAAAAATTTTTTATTCTTCTTGAGGCATATGTCGCGTCGTTTCTTTGCCTAAGAATTTATTTTTATTTTATTTATTTTTTTTTTTGAAAAATTTTATGTATATAAATTACAAAGTAGTATTTACATTGAGAAATAATAGGTGCTAATACCTGGGAGACTGTACATAGAATAGAATATAGATCACTCATTATTACCCTAAGTCTACGATAAATCGCTTTTATAACTTCCAACTTGCCGCGTGTAATGTGGTTGCCTCTCCTGTATTTGTGCTATTTAAGAGACACTTAGCACGAGACTATATATGTATATATTTATATGCATGTTTCTTGCAACAACTATTTTATGTCCTGCACTCTCATATTTACATAGATATGCATGTTCGATTAAACGTTTAAATTATGTACGCGATGCTCCTTTCTTCATGGAACCACTTATTGAGGATTATCCCAGAAAATATAATAGAAGTTTATTAACTATAATAATTTTAGAAAGAAATTTTTTAATTTTCTTGAATTTTATAATTTTGAAATTTATTTTCGAAAATAAATTTAGACTTTACGGTTTTTTAGTCAGATATTTTAAAATTAACTGGTGTTTGATAATTTATAGCATAAAATACAAATAATTAGGTAGAAAAAGATTATTTTTTCGAATTTGGTTCTTTTTAATTTAAAGAAAATTAAAAACAAATTATAAAGTTGGTCCCGCAATTTTTTTTCCGTCTTTCTAATTGCTTTTGTTTTTTTTTCTTTTTTTGGAAAATTAAGAAGAAAAAATTAAAAAATAAATCGTAAAAAAGGTTTTTAATTTTTAAAAAATTAGAAATTGTTAAAATCTGAAAAGTTTAGTTCCTGACTCTTAGTATGAAGTACATAGAATAAAAACATTTAAGAAATTTAGTTTTTAATTTAAATTTTTATTGTGGAAAAATTTGAATGCAACTATTTCTCAAACATTGCAATTCGGATTCATTGTGAAAAAGTCTGTGGTAGTTTATTCTGCTTATCAACTTTAGAGAAAGTTTTTTTATTTATGTTTGTATGTATGTACGCAGGTAGCAGACATGTTGGTTTTACGAGAGGAACGCGACGAACAGCAGAACAGCACAAAGGAGTCATAAAGCATCCCACAAGCACGCAACGAGTCGGTAAGTTATATATATATATTTATATATACTAGTGCAACCCTTTCGGTGAATCCCCCCCTTTTTTATATATATATATTTAAGAAAAATGCTGCGTCGTCAGGTAAGAATAAATTGATATTAAATTGTCGGAAATATCTTCTTCTAGAAATAAAAAAAAAAATTTCTTAGACGCGCCCGGAAAATAATAAAAATCTCGACATTTCATATTTACGCCATCTTCAAAAGACATTCTGAACTTTAATATTCAGTTTTACTACTACAGATTCTTGAGATTTCGTCAAAAGTTGAAATTATTTATTACTGTACAAAAAATGCATAAAAAGAACTTATTTGGATTTTAATTAGTCTTGATAATAGAAAACAACTTGAAAAGTCTTAAAAAAATGTTTGCGAAAAAAGACAAAGAGGTTAAATTGAAAATTTTTTATCCCTAGGGAAAAAAAGAAAATTTTGTTGATGACGTTAAATCGTTGATTTTTAACAAGGAACTTTTTTGTAATTTTATAGTCGTTGTTTATAAAAGATTGCAATTTCATTTCTAAATTAAGTCTATATATTGTTACATAAAGAATGAAATTTTTATTTTCAAAGATATACAAAAAAAAAAAAATAATTACAGGCTGTTTATAACTCGCGATCGATTTCGTTTTATATCACAATGTGGTCGGGTTTCTTACACATATTTATGAGTTTATTAATCATTATTGTTTTGTCTCATCCCTGTATTGTCGATTTTTCTTTAGCAAAAAATTACATATTCTTTTTTGTATCGCGATTTCCGCACTAAATTGTTGTATGAAGGCTGAGACGGTAAATATAGAAAAACTACCTAATGGGAAAAGTTTTGTCGATATTTATATTCGAACAAAGTTACAAATAAAAAAAAATGAAACTCACACTAATTACAAACTTAAATGTAGAAATTATTTTAAATCAAAGTCTTTTATACAAATTAAAAATATTTTCAAGTTTTATTTTATTTTAGATTTTTTTTTTAATAATTTATAATAATAATTTAATTTTTAAATTATTAAAAATTTTAAAATCAATTATTACTATTTAAAATTCGATTATTAAATTATTTACAAATTCAAATACAAAATTCAATTACATTTTTATAAATTTGTAAATTTTTTTATTTATGAAACGTTCTGGAGCTGCAATGGCTAGGAGAGAGAAAAAAAGCGTCATCACTGGGTTTTCTTTTCTCTCTCATATCCCCACTCCAACGTTCGGCTTCAGGCTTTAGAAGCTATATATTTATGAATTAGTTCATTTGAATTAAATTTGTAAATTAATATGTTACAAAATCAAGAGATCTCACTTGAAACTAAATTCATAAATTTATAAATAAATTAATTGAAACATTTAAAAAATTTTTATTAAAATTAAATTGAAAGTTTCAGAAAGTTAAAAATTGGGATTAAAAATTGTAAAACGAAAAAATAATTTAAAAAAAGGAGTTCGGCTTCAATTGACGCGTGCTGTAAAACAAAATTTTTTTCATGACACTGAAAAAGGTAATATAAATTACTATAAAAAAAATATATTATTTAGAATTTTTACAATTTAGAAATTTTTTTTAAATTAATAAAGCAAATACTCACTGGTACTTAGAATAGTCTAAAAATGCGCAGAACGATTTTACTAAAATTGACAGCTTAAAATTTGTTTCGCACCCTTATAATGCAAAAAAAAAAAAAAAAATACTAGCTGCCAAGTGATATAAAATCAAATACGAATTTGCGAAAATTTAAAAAAATTCGACAAATACTTTTCTACCATCTTCGACTATAATTCTAATGATTAAGAAACTACGCATTTATACAAATACTAATTTTTTTTTTCTTAAAAAAAAGTCCATCAAAGAGGCGCTGTACAGACAATAAATACATCGCATGGGACTGAGTTTTTTTTTTCATTTTTTTCTTCTGTTCATACGAGTCAGTCTTCTGTGTGAGAAACGATCGATGCTCGCTGCCATTTGTTCTTTTTTTTGGCAAAAATTCTGGTAGCGAGATACTGACCGAGGCGTATTATTATAATTTTATTTGACATTGTGCATTACACAATAAACTTGACTCACTCTAGAAATTCGATTTTATTTATATAATTTTTTTTTTTATTAACTCTTTTTTCTTTTCTTGGATGGTTAGAACTTTTTAACAAAAAAAGAGAGAGAAAAAGTTGAAATTGTGGTTTACGTCTGGTATTCTAGTAATTTTCCTGTATGCTTAAACTTCCTTTGAGCTTACGTGTTGAAAAAAGGATTGTAAAAAAAGAATTATTTAACGACGATCCTGTGGCAGTGTGTATATAGTACGAAAAGCCTCGAGGCGAATTTCTAGAGGAGTTATTTCCCTAACTGATATGCCAATAATTTTAGTTTCATCGCCTTAGCGATTATACAAATTTTTACCTTGATACACTGTAAAAATATTGTGGTATTACATAATGAAATGTAATGATGGAAAAAAAGTTTTCTTCTCTCCATTTGAAAATAATTTTTACAAAAGTTGTCTTATCAAAAATCTAAGACTTGTGTTTTTTTTCTTCATTTTCAAAAACAAGTAAAGAGAGTCAAATTATTTGAGTATTTTAGATTAAGATGTTAAGAAATTTTTTTTATCATTTTCTTTTGTAAGAAAACAATTTTTTTTTACTAATTTAAAGAATTTAAAAAAAATTTTCTTTCATAGAAAGATTTTAGGAATAAAACAAAAAATCTTAATGGAACGTAAGAAAAAATATTTTTTTGTATCCATGACGGAGGTAAAAATACCATTGTGATGAAATTTATTTTTGTTTCCACATTTTAATCTGAAATATTCAAAATAATTAAAAACTGTCGAAACGTATTGAAAACTAGAAAAATAATTACAAAAAAACTATTTTTGCAGTGTACTTCGAATAATTACTATATATAGTCTTAAAATTACTGTACAAACCCGAAAAAAAGATTCAAGTCCAAAGGAAATTTATTTCCGGAAAATTAATTAATAAAATTAATTAAAAATAAGTTAGACTTTTAAAAAGTTTATATTATAGTAAAGTAAAATCGAATCTTTCTTTCGGGATAATTTGTAGAAAAGAGAAGCTCCGATTTTTTTATCTCTCTCTTACAATTCACGATTAATGAAAAATTATTCTGATTTGGGGAGTATTTTCACTTCTGCTATTGTGCATGTAAATTTGAGTATTTTTTCCATTATAGTAATCGTGAGATGAAATATTTAAATAGTGCTTACAAATTCTGTTTTTTTTTCTCGATGATCTATGACGAAAGATGTGCATTCCGGAGTGTTGTAGTATTTCTTTTTTTTTGCTGCGAAAAAATTATCCTGTCATTCTCATTTGGGAGTTGATTCTTTATGCGAATCTATGAAGAGAATGCTCCCGTCGCTTACTGCCGCGGCGTTCTCGTTCACAAACCGGTTCAGGACTCGGTGGGCTCGAGTACGTTAGATTACTGGTGCCTCGAGGAGGTGGTACACTCATTGGAGGTGGAGGTGGCGGGAAAAAGCTCTGCAAGCACGCCTGAAGCACCAAATATTCATAAAGTCTCGATTAAAAAACATGCAGAGTGGAAACGTCAAACGTTTTACTTTTTTAAATTTTGTAAAATGCATATTACCATCTATAGAGGTTGGGAGAAAAAAAAATTCAAGAGAATTGCAGGGTTAGCAAATCAAAAAAAAAAAAAAAAAAAAAAAAAGAAGAGAGAAAGAATGGGGAAAAAATTGAAATTTGCAAATATAAAGATTTTTTTTTCACCTCCCTGGAGTTTGGAAAGAAATTTATTATTACATACTCTGGGGAAATTTTCTGAAATTGGAGGAGAAAAAAAGGTAGTTTCTATCGTGCTTAGTGTAGAGGATTAAAAGTTGTAAGCTCAGCGCTTGTTCAACTTTACATAAGTAGAGAGTGAGAGAGGCTTGAAAATTAATTCCCAAACATCAAGATCACTGCTTACAAGCTGATTATTTCGGTAATTTTCGAATATTCCGATGCTAATGGAAAGTCAGTTTTGTACAACGTTATACAATGTTTAAACGTGGAGGTAAAGTTTAACAGTTGAAATTTAAATTTTTTTTGGGATTTAATTGAAACTTGAATTTAAATTAAGCTTTTGATTGATATTTTAATTTAAATTGTAATTCTAATTAAAAATTGCAGGGTTGCCACAGGTCAGGGAAAAGTCAGGGATTTTTAATAAAAGTACTGGAAAAAATTGAATTTTAAAAATTCATGAGAAAACTCTGAATTTTGAAGTTTTTTTTGTTTGCCTCGTAAACTATAAAATTACCACGAATTTTAATACAAAACCTTGGATTTTTTCTACTTCAGACAATAATTTCTTTTTAAATAACTTAATTTTAGAAGAACTATTATAAAATTATGATTTATAAATTATTTAATGAATAATTTTTACAATTTTCATAAATACAAGATTGATAAAAGAATTTTAGTTAAAAATACTAAAAAAATTGAATTTTGTAAAAGTTACAAATAATTTTAGAAATTCAATTATATTTAAAAGTAATAAAATCTTTCGCAGAAATTTAATTATATTTAAAAATTAAAAAAAAATTCTGGTCATTTCAATTAGCTTTAAAAATAATAAAATTCTTCTCCAAAATTCAATTATTATGTTAAAAATTTTTATTATCTTTATAAATAATACAATTCTTCTTCGAAATTCAATTATTTTCATAAACTAGAATAAAATTCGTTGGAAGAATTAAATTATTTTCAAAAGTAATACAATTCTTTGCAGAAATTAAATTATGTTCAAAAATTAAAAAAAAATTCTTATCAAAATTTCAATTATCTTTATAAATAATAAAATTCTTCAATATTGAATTATTTGAAAATTTTTTTTTTAAATTCTCGTCAAAATTTCAATTATCGTTATAAATAATAAAATTCTTCTTCAAAATTCAATTATTTTTAAAAACTTGAATAAAATTCTTGTTAAAATTTCACAGGAATTCAATAATTTATAAATTTTTAAATAAATTTCTTTGAAATAATTCAATTATTTTCATAAATAATAAAATTTTCACATGAGTTCAATTATTTAATACATACAAAATTTCATAAAATTTTTCGAAAAATATCAAAAATTTAAAAAGATTTTTTTAAAATTCGTCGCATGAATTTAATTATTTAAAAAAAAATTAACAAAGTTCTTTTCAAGAAATCAATTATTTTTATAAATAATAAAATTCTTCACCGAAATTCAATTATTTTAGAAAAATTTGTATAAATAAATAAATAAATAAATAAATAACATTATTGGAAAATGTTTTAATTATTTTCATAAATAATAAAACTCATCGTAGGATTTTAATTAATTTTTGATACAATATTTTTATCAAATTCCTCCAAAAATGTAATTATTCTTCAAAATTTTATTAAAATTTTTAAAAAGAATTCAATTATTTAAAAATTTGTTGATAAAATTCTTTATGAGAATTCAATTTTAATAAACATTCAATTATTCAATAAATTATTTATTTTTGTATTTAAATAATTGAATTTTTGTAAAATTTTCTTATAAAAATTTATTAAAAAATGAATTTCCGAATAATCGATTTATTATTTATGAAAATAATTGAATTCTTGTGAAGGATTTTATTAGGATTTTTGTAAAATAAAATTAAATATTTGTGGCAACCCTGAATTGGTTTTTAGTTGAAATTTTAGTTTTAATTAGAATTTTACTTTTGATTTAATAAATTGAACTTTATTGTAAATGAAAATTTACATACTTTTGCGCTGCCCCTGGAGGATTTGGAAAAGACACTGTCCTGATCACTGCTTACACTAGGCACAGGCATAGGAACTGCATAATCGTATGTCGCATCTGTAACAAAATGACGAAAACATTTTTGGAATATAGAAAAATCTGTATTTTGAAGATCTGTTTTTATCGATTACACAAAATCCCAATTGCTTTCGGATTCAAATTTTTTCTAGGTACATTTAGTATTCTAAAGAACTATGTAAAAAAAATCAGAACAGTTTTTTTACTACTGTCTTCGATTTTGCCGAATAGATTTCGTCTTCTGCTTGTTCCGGGTCCATGTGGACTACTAGCACCCAAAAGAAGTGTTGCAACTCTAATTCACGATTCTTTACTAGACTTGATTCATGATACATTTTCCATTTCTGAACTAAATTGACATTTAATCGCAATAACAAATTTTTATGTTTGTATCACCAAATACCGTTCCCATCAATAAAGAAATGCAATTCAAAATTGCGTAAGCCCCATAACCAGTTCGAAATTCCATTGAAATCAATACTAATTGACATATTACAATTAACCATCGCATTAATACCTATCATTCCTCGGATGCAAATTGGTCCGATAATAATGTAGCCTAGTTATGTCAAACATGTGTACTCACCGGACTGTTCAATGTTGTCGTGCAAATCCTTGTTGTCCAAGACAACAGTACTGTATCCGTAGTATGCAGCATGCGCTGGTTCACGATATTTGTTCTCGTGAAATGGCTCCTGGTATTCGTCGAGTCTAACGTCACCGAGTAGTCGATCATTCAAATCACGTGGCAATGTTGTGAGTTTAGAACCAGAATACCTATCGTCAAGATCCTCAACTCTATATGTCATTAATGATGGATCTTTCTCTGTGGTCCCATACGCCGATTCCGATGACAAATGATGATGATGGTGATGATTACCCGAGGGAATTGCACCCTTTGCACCTAATGGACTGGCAAAATTTTTCCTCTGCCTATGCCGACTGACTATTAGAAATATAGCAACGGCCAGGAGAAGAATAACTGCCGTCAGTACTCCTATTATCACAGCCATATAAGTTGGATCATCCTGCTTGGCAGTGGAAACGGGAATTTCCGCTTGAAGCGGAGTATCACGATCGGAACTTTTGTCCTTAATTCTTGGCGCTTCGGTTGATGGCGGCATTTCTAGACTGAAGTTTCCATGAGCAATATCTGAAAAATCAAAAATTTTTTCTTAGATAGGATCTTTTATAATTATACGAATACAAATGATTATAGTGATTTAATGATTGTAGTGGTTTAATGTAACAAAACAGTGAAATTACTCACCCGAATCGAATGTTATCTCACTGATCATAATCCAACGGGAAGCAAAGCCAAACTTCAATTTGACAAACTTGCCAATCCGATGATGTAATTTAATCGTTACGTTTCGTGAATTCTCAAAGATACGATCCTCTACTGTCTCGTACACAATTGGATCACCATTGTAGTATTTACCGCCAATACTAAACATAACCCCGACTTCCGAAAAGACCTGCAACATAATAAATAGACACAATTCTAATAAACTGATTTATAAACTTATTTATTGAGTGTATTATGTGTGGTAATTGAGTGTAAAATTAATAACGGACGTAATTATGATTTCTAATTTAATATTCATGGACCGTTGGATCACGACAATATTCTCAAAATAGAATCATTGAAAATGATTAATTTAATCTCGAAATTCAAAGCTTCAATGAAACTATTAAGAGGCAATCTACATATTTAGAAGGAGAAGTGGGATCAATTTTATAAAACAGCTTTCACTTAGTTCTAAAAAGTGAACTATGAAGCAAAGCAGGATTATCAAGTTCTCTTTAAAATAATTTCCGTCTACTACTGTGTGTAACGCAACTAAACTGGTCGTTGATTCAACGCTGATTAGAACGACAATGACGGGAACGACCTCGATAATGGCAAAAGCCGTAGGTGGGTCTCCAAGAAGCACAGAGGCGCGAGGAGTCGTAGCGGAATGCTAATTCGCTCCAGACACGATGGTACGATAGTAGTACAGAACTTAGAATTGAGGATGTGGAGGAGGAGAGAGAGGGGGGGAGTGACTGAGAGATTACAAAGCACAGATTATCTAACTCCTTCACCTCGTGGAAGACGTCGCGGTGGCCCGTATGGATTTTCAACCTTCGCCCTTCAGGCAAGTAGGCTGAGAGCGAGAAAGAGGGTTAGAGAGAACGATAGAGAGAGAGAGAGAGAAAAGGAGAGGGTTTTCGATGAGGCGTCGGTAGGGTTACCGGAGCTTTGAAGTGCTGTCTTTCAGCCGTCGACGTGTTCTATCCCACTAGAGTAAGCTCGCGCGCTTGTTAATAGGGAGGGTCTCGCGAAGCTTCTCAGCAGTCTTGCCAGACTGTAGGTATTGTATTTGAATGCGTGGCGTATCTGCACCCACGACGACGACGACGACTACTACGAACGGTCGTTGCTGCCATTGTGAAGGGAGCCCCATTTTACCTCCCCATTCTCACAAAACCCGTAACCATCAACTACTACTACTACAAGAACCATCACTGCGCTCTTTCTCGCTCCCTCTGCCTTACAATCATAGAGCTGGGTAATGAGGCGCTCCATTCAAATAAATCTTGATACCGAGCAGAGTGTTTTGCAGACCATTATAAAATCCAAACGGAATACGCCGGAAAATTTTCCACGAGAAAATATATATGAAGGGGGCTAAAGTTAATACTTCGCTTGATACTTTCTTTGTCGAGTTTTATCTTCAGACTTCGCAATTCCAGTCCACTTAAAATTGCTCCTAAGTTTGCTTTTAGTCTGTCAAGAATGAGCGTAAACTGCGTAGGGCGTAAACTGCATTTTATTCGATCTGATTTTTGCAAAAGGTTGCCTTCTTTCGTGCTCTACCTTGAAATATTTACTTTTTTCCTCAATTGTAAATAATGCGTACACGTCGCGTGGTTTGACTGAAAACTTTAAAGAGGATAATGACTCTAAACACCGGAGAAATCCTCGATGTTAATGATTATAGCTCAGAAATTCACCTGAACAATTATTGACTTACTGTCTTGCATTGGTCTCCCAATTGACGACATAGGTTTGTCAGAGTCGACTAGTTCTGTTTGGTACGAGCCCGATGCCCCGATTGGACTACCAACGCCCTTTAAGCTCCGTTAATAACTCGACAACCTGCATTATCGACCGTCAGTAATCTATTACCATAAACATCGTCGTCAAGGTGAGAAAATCTACGTATTATTGAATTTTTTGAAAATCTTTACCAATTCGGAATAAATATGTAAGGCTTCACAGTGAAAGGAACCTAACGCGATAATAACGTTAATGCTGATGTTCTTGTCGCGTTAGGTCCCTTTCACCCCGAAGCGTCACATACACAATAAATAATTATCAATATGAAAATATCTCGTTGTGGAATATTTAGAAAAATAGAAAATATCCAGAAAAAATGTTAGTACCAAACCAAATTTTCAGACAGGGAACATTTTCATATCTACGCCAAGTTTTTTCCAAGTTTGGATAAAAAAAAGCAAGTTGAAAAAGAGGCAGAGACGGAGTCTCTTTTACCCTTCATTTCCCTCGTCGTGTAAGTCTGCTCGCCTAATCGTCGCTGCGGGGCTTTCCAATTTCCTCTTTCACACTCCGCACGAATGTGCCAAGAGGTTTTTTTAACCCTCTTCTCTCCTCTAAGGCACACGATGAAAATAGAATTTTCAAAGCAGTATTATATTTGCCAACACCATCTACTTAGGTTTTTAGGACCTTGAGAATTGTACTATTTGACTTTGCCCTCGCAAATACAATTGACCGAAAATTTCCATTGGGGAAGTATTACCATTAAAGTCCAAAATTGCTGGAAGTAATGATTTCGCAGTTGCAATGGTTGTAGTTGTTTTTATAAACGATGAAATATAAGGCAGGAAAATGGGGTAAAGTGGAACATGGTATAATGGAACTGGAATGGGTAAAATGGATAAAATGGAATAGAATAAAAAGGATAAATTGGAATAGAATAAAAGGGATAAATTGGAACACAATAAAAGGGATAAATGGAATACAATAAAGGGGATAAAATAGAATACATTAAAGGAAATAAAATGGAATACAGATACAAAATAGTACTATGGAATTAGTGAATACGGAAATAGAGTATAAACTATAAACAATGAAATGGACTCACCTGAACATCTTTAGTGAATTGATTGTTGCAATAGATATGAACAGCGGAGAATTCTCTGACGTGATCAAATTCGAATTTAACTTCGAGTGGACGATTTGAACGGGTATCGTTTCTCCAGCCAACCCATCCTTGACCCCGATCGTAGTCAAAGTAACCCAACTTGAAATTATCGGGCCCAGTACGACCGTCCGTGAGTTGTCCAAGACCACGACGTAGTTCACCGTCCCAATGACCGTCGTAAGTCACGTCGAAGAATTCCCAATTGCCTCGTTTATCCCCCTGCGGTATCGAGTAAGAAACGATTCCATCGTTCCATGGACAACCGTACAATTCAACTCGCATGCACACCGTACGACGATGATAACTGTACGGTAGAAAACGAATTTTACTCGCCCAAATCGGTGGTTCTAAATCTCGTTTCGTTTCAATGTAGGTATTGCTGTTCCCCTTTATCACCTGTAACAGAAAGAAAATCGTATCGATTTAGAAAAATGTCATCTATTGCTATCTGGGATGAAAAAAAAGTAATTTCACATGAATCGGGAAAAATATTACAGAATCAGACCTAATTATTTATTAGCATCTATTAATGAAGCGTCTTCTGTTTAGAAGACTTAATCTTTTAAACGTCAGTAATAAAAATTTTCTATTAACCAGAATTGTGTGAATCGAATAAGTGAAAAAAAGGAAGGGGGACAAAAATAAGTAGATAAAGACTGCATCAAGCGCTGGTAATGCTCGGAGGCTGACAGGAGTAACGAGTGGTTGAAAATAAAGTAGTGTCAGGCTACCGACGCAATTACCTTTCACACAAGAGCACAACGTGCAGTTCAGTCGGGCACGAAAAATTCTTTACGTGTTCCCTAGAGCGAGTTTGGTGAGGGCACACACGCGTTTGTTAAACGAGCTCGAGTTTGCACCTGTCGAGATCACGACCGAACACCACGACTCGGTCACGTCTCGACGATACGTGAGAACAACGAGCGCAGAAGAGTTCTGCCTCTGTTCTCATAAGTGGAAAATAAGAGACCCCCCTCACCCATTTTCCTCCCTCTGTTCAAAAAGAAGGACTAAAACTTGTCGAAATGATGACTCTCTCAATTTTTATATGGATCATCAATAGTTTTTTAAAAATTTTCTACTCTATTAGTTTATTAATCATGAAAAAATACCTCCATATTTTCGATTTGTCAAACAATATTTAAAAAAAATAACTTCAAACTGTGGACAGCAGATCATAATATAGTGAATTGAGGATTTCGAGGAAACTTTTTTTTTACTCGGGACAAATTCGGAAAGCTTGAAGATAGTGTGAATAGGTGTGGCATCGACCAACGCCCATGCTATATGCTAATGTATTGTATCGCCTTTTGCTACTCGACGAGTAGCACCTTTTTCCTCCTCAACAGTAGCTACTATTCCAGTCCTCGTCTCAAAAGCCGGATAACTCTCTGAACGTTAGCGAAGATTAAGTCGAATAAGACGTCTACCTTTTGTCTAATTATGCAAAGGATGCATTTCACCCCTGGAGTTATAATTCATATTTATACAATTTAGTAGCAGAAGAAGAATATTTAGTAGTAGAAGATGATAATGATAAAAAGCATCATCAACAATAAAAAACGAAACTGTCCGAAAAAGTATTAAGAAAAAGTATTTACAAAAACTAAAATTCGAAGACTTTTTAAGCTATAGCGATGATCAAGGAGTTATTTGAAGAGATTCTAGAGAGATGCTCAGAATCCTTGAGGATATATTCATAGCACAACGAATATGAAAATGTCTGTCGGTGAGAATATCTCACCTATTCAAGCATTTGACTATATATATAGTAAATATATATATATATATAAAAGTATATATAAATATAGAGGTGAGAAGGATACCGTCTGACCCGCGTGCACGCGACGATCTTCCCTCATTTTATTGATCCACCCTCCTATACAAATAAGTTGGAAGCAAACCCCTCCATTTTAACTTCCGAAGAAACTCGGCTGGCCAGTAAACTTTCCACTGGCACTCTAAATTCTAAAACGAACCTCCAGTAAAATGTTTTGAAAAGAAGTTCCTCCATAATGGAACTCATGGAAATGGTCTTCCCTTTCTCTCTATTTTATGCCTACACACACATAGACGAACAAACATTCAAAGTAATGTGAGTCAGAAATGTCAAGTTCTATTTATTCTCATTTATGCTAAATCAATACTTAACCTTCTCTTATAATCACTAATAACCCTTTAGAATGGTTTATAATTCAATATTATGACATTATTCAATGAATGGTTGTTTATTATTCATTATAGTACTTTAGAAGTTGTTATAGTGCTGTATTATTTTTTGTGCAGCATATTTTTTTCTTTACAATTGGCTATGTGCTTTTTTTATTATTAACCAGATTATAATTTAATAGTTGGTATGGTACTATGCACTATACAGTAATCTGTTTACTGTATGGTACTGTATACTATACAGTAATCTGTTTACTGTATGGTACTGAGTACTATACAGTAATCTGTTTACTGTATGGTACTGTGTACTATACAGTAAACTGTTTTCTGTATAGTTATGTATGCTATATAGTTTCGTATACTGTTTAGTTCTGTATGCTATATGATTCTGTAATCATTTATGATTCTTTATGGTAATACATGGAAAATTATTGATAAACTGTAATTAATAGTAATTAACGAATAATTTAGGTATTATTTTAATATTTCAAACAAACAAAAACAAGAAAGTAAATACTTTGTGGTTTTTGTTGTTCGTTTATAAAAGGAGGAAACTCGAACTTACCTCTTCGCCTCGAATATCCCGATAACGGACCCATTTCCCTAATCTAGGTCTCCAATACTCGAGGAGATAAGCTTCGGCAAATTCAACACCTTGTCCATTTCCAAATCGTCCCTGAGTAGCAGTTCCAGTGATTAAATGAACATTGTGCAGATCGATTTCGAGCCATTCGCGCGGTTCAGTTGTTATCTGCAATTTAGGACACCAAGCCCCACCATGATACTCTTGCTTTAGTCTGAAACAAAGGGAAACAAATTTTCTTCTTTAGATTCTTCTATAAGTTCTTTTGTTATTGAAGATAAGTTTTTACTTTGGACAGCATTTTTTAATTTATTTATTTATTTAAACTCTTCCAGTTTTCTTTTTGGGCTAAAAGAAAAAAGATGGTGACAGTTTTCGAGAAAGGAAAACAAATTTTGTATTGGTATATTTCAGAAATTTGTCTTTAGGATTTTGGGTTGAATTTGGGATTTATTTTTTTAATAGAGAAAAGAGGAGTTGAGTTGGTACACAATAATATAATCATTCTCATGTTCTTGTGTGTATATATATGTATATCCGCAATGGATAAGCTTTGGCTTCAACGATGGAATACGCGATGAAATTATAATTTATCGACCGATTTCCTGGAAGCGGATGATATGAATTAAAGATGAGGTCTTCAGGACGCGTGAGCATGAGAGGAGATAGAGAGAGAGCAGCCACTTCGATTGCTAATTGTGTAGTTTCCTTTCGCGAATCGTCCCTCCATTCAAACGGCTAAAGTAGCTTTAACAATTTTTTTTCCGAACGTTAAAAAAAGTCTTGATCCAAACTGTGTAAAAGATCTTCACAAAGCAGATAAAAATTCAAAAAATTGTTTTTAATCCTAAAGTCCTTTAGTCTTCTAAAATTGTTACACACCGACTGAACCTAAATTAAACCTAAACGAAATCTATAAATTAAACTTAAAGTAAATTTGTATGACCAAACCCAAAATGGACTAAGGTATACATTATCTTGTAATTCCACAACAGTTATTCGTTACTGGAACGAAATACTTTAGAATCGAACTCTATTTTTAGGATTTAAATAAAATGAAGTAAAGTTGTCGTAAAGTTCTCGGGAATAGTGTGAGAGAGACATAATTCAGCAACATCCTTAGGAGTCCAATTCAGTGCTTTTGAAAATAGCTTCATTTGGCGAGTATGGAGCAATAGTGGGAAACCATAAACAAGAGTATTAAAAATCGTGGAGCAGGAGGAGAGTGGGGAAATCGCGCGACATGAAGGAAAATATAGGTGGGCGAGACAAAAATGTTTTTCGCGATAAAAGCAAGTCGGCAACTCGGCACTAGTCTCTTAAGAAGTGTTTGAAAAGCATTGGGGAGGGGAGAGAGGGTTTTCTAACTGACAGTACAAGGTGCTCTGTCGGCAGTAAACTACTACGTGTGTGCTACATGAACTGGCGTTTAGAGTCAGCGGGTCTCCGATTCTTCTTCTTTTTCTTCCTCTTCGTCTTCTTATTCTTCTTTACCCTCCTCTACTCCGTCTTCTTCTTCCCCTTCTTTTTCATCTTCTTCTCGTCCTTCTTCCCTTTCCGTCTTCTTCTTCTCTTCGTTCTTCACCTTCTTCTTCCCTTCCCTCTTCTTCTTCATCTTTTTCTACTTCTCCTTCTTAGTCTTCTTTTTATTTTTCTTCGTCGTTTTCTTCTCCTTTCTTCTCCTCCTCCTCCTTTTCTTCTTCCTCTTCTTCGCCATCGTTTTCTCCTCTTCCTTTGCTCCCAGCAAGCGAGACAATCGTACGCCAGACCATAACTCATAGCCCATTAAGAGGGCTCAAACTGCCTGCCACTTTGATACAGTCCGCATCAAAGACATTCCAAACACACTGTCCTCGATAAATCTCCTACGCGTGCGATTATGTTTGCGTCTCGAACGCTTTCGTGACTCGTCGTGCAACGGCGCAGTCACTGGACCCTCATCTGGAATCTCTCCATCAACACTTTCTCTTGAAATTCAGAACATACTCTGGAACTTGAAATGCAATTTCAAATTGTATCGTTTATTCCGCATACACAATAAAATACTGATGAGAAATTACATCAAAAATAGCGGAGTATAGTAAGGAATTTATTTTTCCTTGAATGAAATAGAAATGAAAATGAATGAGGGATGTGGAGCTGTGAATTTTGTGATAGAGAACATCAAAACTACGCCATTGGGGAGACAAACTTGAGAAACAAGATGGTTTAAATGTAATTTTCACGGAAGTCTTCCGTTGCTTCGCCAAATTGACGACGCACTTTCCTTTGACATTTATAATTGGCTTTGAATCGTTTTAGATAAAGTTTACATGTCACGGACCAGTGATGTTTGCGCTGGAGCAATAAGCAAACATTTTGGGTGGCTTCTGTCTTTTGTTTTTTGACAAAATATATGCTTTCTAAGAAACTTTGAGTTGTTCGCGAAAATGGGAGGATTAAGAATAGAAAAAATGTAGCAACAAAAAAGATGAAGTACTAGAAAAAGACAATAATAGTAAATACTATAGTAATAAAAAAGATTAAGATTTTTTTTTACTTTTTAAGGATTATGAAGAGAATGATAATAAATTATGTGAAGCATAAATGGAAAACTATATGCAATCGACTATTGAGGAAAACGTTATTATTGAACAATGTAATAGATTATGGACTGTTGAACGATAGGTAGAAATGCGGGACATCATTGTTATATTATGGTTTGTATAAGGATGGTTTTGAATTAAAGATTCTTTGAATATCGAGTGATTAATCTAATGGATCCCTAGTCGCAATTCTCAATATGGCAAGAGAAGGTGAAATCATCTATTTCTTTAGAATGAATAATGTCCTCCTCATTGGGTTCAATTTAAATTGATGATTCGTGATTTTTTGCTTCAATGTGAAATCATCGCGAGTGATTGAAAATTATCTATGAATGACGTGTTTTTATATTTCGCTCAATTTGGATTATTGTGTGTGTGGAGAATCTGACCCGACCTTTCCTAATCTAAAACGTTGGGATTTATTAGTTGAATATTTTCCAGGGTTGATCTGCACTATTCTGGTACAAGGCTAAATTATATATTCTATTAAATTATCATCTAACCTTAGGATCCTTTTCACCTGAACTGGAATTTTGAATTAAAAATTGTCCAGACATTGCAGTTTTACCTAAAAAATATTGTACAGGATCTAACAGAAAATTATTAATTCAAAATTTTAGAGAACCAATTTCTTAGTTTGACCAGAATTGTTCTAAACATCCTTTTGATTGTTAGGTTGACCAAAAAATTTTTGATCAGCTTGACCTGAACTATCTTAAAATATTAAAAGTTTAGTGTAACCTGAATTAATTTATATTTAATTGTGATTTCTTTGTACGAATTTTGAAAAAAGGTTATGAATGAAAAAAATCCAGAAGGATTTTGATGAGAATAGGAGATAATATCTTGTGGTTACAAATATATTGTATATATGTAATTAAACTGAAAAGGGGACAATTCCTTGAATTGATGATGGAAGAGTAAATTGGGAAATAATAAAAAGTGTGGGCAAATACTAACCGTGCATGATGTGGTCCCACGTTTCCGCTGTCAAAGCTGGAACTGGCAGTGATGTCAGCATCAGGAATTGCTCCCGACTCCATTCCCAAGGGGCCGATGCATTGTGCTGTAAACATATAAAAGAAAGAACGTGTTGTATCATGCTGGATAACGATTATTTACAATCAACTTGAGTTGTAACCAAGAACCGTTTTTCGGGGGGACAACTTTATGTCATTTAAATCGTTTTTAAAATGGAAAAAACCACAAATTTTTTTCTTCGAGTTATAATTAAATTTTTTGTTAGTTCTGTAAAATTATAGTTCTGACCCAAATAAAATTGCAAATTCAAAAAAGAATTGACTATTGAAAATTGGAGAAAACGGAAGATTGTTTATTTTGTAAATTGAATAAGTTTGCTTGTGAGTTATTAGCAGAAAGAGCCTTCTGGGGAGGACCGGGACTTAATTTCTAATTGAGTCACGATTTATGTTTTAATATCGTTCGGTAATAAGGCGCGGGGTGTCTGATATGTTTTCTTTTCTTCCTTTTTTTCGTGAAAGAACCGAGGAGTAATTAATTTACATTCGCACCCACGCTTAAAATAGAAAAGCAGCAAGAAAGTGAATAAAAAGAGAGAGAGAGAGAGAGAGAGAGAGAGAGAGAGAGAGAAGTGGTGGGGGATTGTAAATGCCATAGCCGAGAACGTTGCACGCAGTCATTAATAATAATCAGAGAGAGAAGGAGAGAGTAGATTGTAACAAAAGGATAGTGGGTCGAATTAAATCTACTAAGTAAGAAAATCTTACGATGAAGATTTATGCACCATGAAAGCAACTCTGATTGTATTTTTTTCCAGATTTATTCCATCTCTTCATTCATTATAAGCACCAATTAGCTTAAATCTATTTATGCAAATTAATTTTCCCAGCATAAGAATTTTCATTCTTTTTATACATTTCCAATTGTAAAAAAATACACTTGATAGTAATCTTTAAAAATCTTAACTTCTTAATTGACTCGAAAAATATTTCAAGTCTCGATAATTGATCATGAAATTCTCTGCAATCGTAAATCTTTCAACTCCACAGTTTGGAAACTGAAATCTCGAAATTCGGATTGGGCATTCGAATCTTCACTTTCAAGAGTAGAAGGGAGGAGGGGGAGAGTCCTAATCGCGGTAAACCAACCTGAAAAGTTTAAATCCCCGGTAACTACTTCACAGGAAATCCTCTTTCCCTCCCTCCCTACTTCTGCCCTTGCCTTCTTTCGTTCACTATTGCGGAAGTCGGTCGCCTCGTGCGAAAAAAAGAAGAAGAAAAAGAGTTGAAAAGCAGTGTGAAAAGTGAGGACAAAAAAAATGTGATAAAAAGTTTTTTTTTCTTCCCTTGACTGAAGAATGATAAGAGCTGAGTTGGGGGAAGGTAAAAAAAACCGGTGCTTATCAATTTGACAGTGATGCGACCAGAGAGAACACCCCGAGGGCCAGTGGTGTATTCAATTTCCCTAGACTCCGAAAGAAGAGTATATAACAACCCTTCCGTTCAGGACTGTCACTCTTTAGAGTTATGGACGCGAAATGAGTGGCTGGGGCGGGCAAATGTCGCATAACTTACATCTCTTGCGCCGCTATGCTTCTTTCCTCTTCTTTTTTTACCTCAGGATGTCTATAAATACATATGGATCGAAACCTGCTTCACAACGCGTTTTAGATGTGCATCGTTTTGCTACCAGTAGTCATGATGATAGGGAGAGAGAGAGAGTAAGAGTGAGGGAGGGTGGCGAGGGGTTTCATACGGGAAGTCCCTAGCGCCGGAAGTACCATGCAGTGAGACCAATCGATGGTCGTAAAGATAGTACATTGCGATAGAAAAGTATATCGAGTCGATTGGAAATGACTACCTACCGATATCCCTCGACCATTTATATACACACATTCTTCATAAAATATCCAGGCCAATCCTCGTAGCATGTGTTTTTCTCAATAACTTTTAAGGTTTATTTTCTCTTTTTGAAATTGTTTTTACAATTTATTTATGGAAATGTGGAGGGATGATTTTTTGTTGTGTTTTGGTTTTTGGAAGTGGTTTTATGAGAATTTTGATACGATTTGATTGTTTAGGGATGGTAATCAGGAAATCAGGTGTAGCAAATGTTGCCATAGCAACCGATATCATAGTATCATAGTAACCATTAAGTTAGCAACAGTTTCCTTAGCGACGGTAGTCATTGGTTACTGTGGAAATCGGAGATACTTGTCATACCAAATGTTTCCTTAGTGACAATTAGGATAAAGGTTTTTGTAATTTACACAATCGATCATAATTTACCTAGAAGAGTTGCAGCATCAGTACTGCAACATCCTTCTACTAGAACTCCCACCCTCTTTCGAATGATCATCAGAAATAACATGGTTTTTACGGAAAACGGAGCTATTTATTATACGGAAGGTTTCCATAGTGACAATTAGGATGAAAGTATTTGTAATTTACACAATCGATTATAATTTACCTAGAAGGACCATAAAAACTGCAACATCCTTCTACATCTTCCATCCCCTTTTGAATGATCATCAGAAAAACATCTAAGATGAATATCTCCACTACCCTAACACAGAGGATCGATCCCTTTTTCATCTATTCCACCTTATTTCGTACCATCAACTATTAAAAAAGTTTGTCCGTAAATTGTAGCAAACAGAAATATATCCAATTTGTTGACGGGGTGCGGGGGCTGGTGAGGAGGACTTTGGTTATTCAAATGCAAATAACACCGGAAACAAGAAAAGTTGTTCGGAGCAAGGGAAAGGGGCTAAAGGTCCCATTGGGACAAAAGCCAGACGCCAAGGAGATGGCGTTGTCCGGCAAAGAGAGGAAGCATTTTCGCCTCCTCGAACATGGAAAATAAACAGAAAATTGAGGGTAAGAAAGAGGCTCACCAGACATTAGTGTTTGCGCACGAGCGCAAAGGAATACGGTCTCTCTCTCTCTCTCTCTTTCACTCACTTTGGCGCCACAACGACTGGTAAAGCGGAAGTACTACTTTTACGCCCATCCTTTTCCCTCTCTGATGCTTTACGAACGTGGATACCCACCCGAAAATCACCGACTCGAATTGCGTGCGAGGGTTATTTCTCCCAGCCCTTCGGTTGCGATTTCTAGCCAAAGGGGTCTTTCACTAAAGATCATGACCTGCATGACGTTTATTTTCCCTCTCTCAATTTACTCACGAATATTCAATTCATCAAAATTGACAAAACCAAAACGAAAATTACAAATTGAGAACTATTGTCTAATTCTTAAACAAGTTCCTCTTAATTTCCATCAAATTATACTATCAGATTTATTTCCTTCCCCCGAGATGGTGAATTTAACTAATAATTAACGAATTGCCATTTGCATTAATTCCCTAATGAATTGTTCCCATTTCGCAAACAAAATTTCTCGCAAAACATTCTGGAATATTACGGTCAAATTTCACCTGGACCGGTTAATTTTTTACTGCCGCCAAAAAAACAAAGGCCTCGTACTTCTTAAAAAACTAGTCGAAAAATCATAAAACTGTGAGAATACTTTAGCCTCGTAAAAGAAATAATAAAATTACAATCTTCCTCTTTCGTTTTACAAAAACACTTCAAAAAAAAATGCCGCTAATGAATATCTCTCATGAGAAAAATGCCACTATATATCACTATAAGTCTGATGGATAATTAAACCATAAAATAATCCACTATTCAAATCATCTTTCTCACCATAAACTCGTACGTGTGTCTTATCTCAAAGACCAAGAAAGAAACAGGATAAGAACTCGATAAACTGCAGTCACTTTATAAATACACATACTAAATAAGAACTTCTGTATTCTCCCCGGTCATGAAAAAAAAGAAAATTTCTTTTTACATAATTAAAAAAAAACCAGTCTAATTAAATTCACTCAAGTCGATAAAGCGTTTTAATTAAAACGCAGAAAATGATAATATCGCAATTTCCGTAATTGAACGATGGTTAAATATATACATATACGTATATATTTTGTACATATAATTTAGAAAGCCAAAATTGTTAGTTAAAGATGAAAAATAAATTGATGTGGGTTAAAATAACGAGTTGTTAATTGTCGCATCGTTATGTTAATACCGTCAATGGGGTGAATGAAGCGATAATTTCGGCATTTTCGATTCACTAATGGGGGTCCGGGATAATTGGAATGAGATGGAGATGTGGAAGGAGCCTCACGCAATGCACACGTGTTCAATGTGTATACCAAAGTTGACAAACGCTATAATCCAATTGTAACTGTGTTCAAATGCAGCATATGCAACTTTATAATAATGGTTTTCTCTCGAATCAATAATGTGCATCAACTAGTTGTTCAATTTTCCATACCAAACTGCGTATAGAACTCAAGAGTATTTCGTAAAAACTACTCTTTTATTATTTCAAATTATTTGAGAAAAAAAATAACAAGTCGAAAAATTGTAATTAAACTGAAAATTACAATTCACTGGGTAAATTATAATCGATTGTATAAATTACAAATTACTTTTTATTCTCACATTTCTAGGTTCCTTTATTTCTATTTTTAATAACAAGAAAATGTTTTCTCACATTAATTTTTATTTCACTTTTGTTTATAATACATGACGTTACCGGTTTCATTACAATGAATTTTATAACGTAATTGTACACACTAAAGGAGCCAACAAAAAAGAGAAACGTATTCTGAGAACCAAGCTCAACTGAGAACATCGACACAACATTGGATGGGAATGTACTTTTTTTTTGCAAAACGAGAAAAAAAACAAAGGAAAGAAGAAAATAAATAAATATAAATAAACGAGTAACTCGTGGACGATTGAATAGCAGAAAAATGTCTGAATCACAGGAAATGATATCGTGTAAAGTTTGTTTGTACGCTGATAAAAAGAGACGCGTTAATCAAGTTGACAGATATTGCGAACATGCTCAAGGTGATCATTCGAGTTTTTAGTTTTAAAAAAATTCTTTCTCTCTCTCCCTCTATCTTTATGTCCATTTTACTAAGAAAATTAACAAAAAGTATTGATATGAAATATATTTAATATTGCAATATTTGATTTAATATTGCGAGATTATATTTAAAATTTCTATTTGGAATTGAGATTATTAACAGGGTTACCACAAAAAATTAATTTTGTTTTTCCCTGACTTTTCCCTATGATTTCCAGACAAAATTTTGACTTTTTCTCTGACCCTAAAGAATATTCTGATTTACTCTAAAAATTATTAGATTCTCAAAAAAAACATTCTATTACATTTACTTACGAATTTCTTAAATTGTAAAATTATTCGCAAACATCAATAACTAATTTTTTGAAAAAGTATTTAATTATTATTTTTCCATAGGAATTAAAATTCTTCAAAACATTCAAAATTCCAACATTTTTAAAATTCAACAACTTATAAGAATATTATTATAAAACATGAAGATATCAATCACTCCGAGTCTTCGACTCGGAGTAATTGGTATCTTCATGTTTTATAAAAATTTAAATTTCCATAAAATTTTTCAAAAAAAAAAAAATTTAATTAATTACAAAAATTATAATAAAATTCGTTGCAAGAATTCAATTATTTTCATAAACAATAAAATTCTTCACAGGATTTCAATTATTTTTAATACAATTTTAAATAAATTTCTCGAAAAATGAAATTTTATTCATAAATTTTTTGCAAGAATTAAATTATACATTTGAAAAATAATGAAATTCTTCGATGCAATTCAAAAATTTTTTAAATTTACTATCTTAATAAAAGTTTTCAAAAGAATTTAATTATTTCAAATAAAATGTAATAAAATTCGTTGCAGGAAATCAATTATTTTTACAAGTATAATAACATTTTTCACATTAATTCAATTATTTAAAAAAAAAAATTGATAAAATTCGTATGTTGTAAGAATTTTATTATTTTCATAAATTATAACATTTTTCTGAGGATTTCAATTATTTATAATACAATTTAAAGTAAATTCCTAGAAAAATGGAATTATTTTCTTAAATTTATTGCAAGAATTTAATTACATTTCACGAATATAATAAAATTCTTCGTTGAAATTCAAATATTTTAAAAATCTACTATTTCAATAAAACTTTTTAAAAGAATTCAATTAATTAAAAAAAATGTAATAAAATTCGTTGCAGGAATTCAATTATTTTCATAAAATTTTAAGTAAATTCTTTGAAAAATATAATTATTTTCACAAATTAATAAAATTCTTCACAGGATTTCAATTATTTTTAATAAAATTTTAAGTAAATTCTTTAAAAAATATAATTATTTTTCAAAATTTTATTAAAATTCTTCGAAAGAATTTTCAATTATTTTTTAAAATTCATGCTATAATGCTTTTAATATTCAATTATTATCTACAATTTTAACTGATATTCATTTTTAAATAAATTTTTATTAGAAAATTCTAAGAGAATTCAATTATTTAAGTACCAAAATAAAAAAATTATTAAATAAATAAATGTTTCTCAAAATTGAATTATCATAAAGAATTTTATCAACAAAATTGAATTTTTTCGAGGAATTTTATTAAATTTTTCAAGAATAATTAAATTCTTCGAGGAATTCAATTACAATTGTATTAAAAATAAGTGAAATTGTATGATGAATTTTTTTATTCATGAAAATAATTGAATTTTTGTAAAAATGTTATTATTTATGAATTAATTAATTATATTATTGAATTATTGCGAAAAAATTTATAAAAAATGTTGTAATAGTTGAATTCCTGTGAAATTTTTATTATTTATGAAAAGAATTTAATGTTTGCTTAGAATTTTATCAACATTTTTTTTTAAAATAATTAAATTCTTTTGAAAAATTTTATTAAAAAATAGTAGATGTTGAAAATCATTAGATTGAGGAAAATTTTTTAAAAATAATTGAAATTTCGCAAAGAATTTTATTAAAATTTTTGAAAATATTTGGAATTCGAAGAAGCATTTTATTATTTTTAAAGATAATTGAAATTTTGACGAGAATTTTTAAAAAGTAATTGAATTTCTGAGAAGAATTTTTTTTCTTTTGAAAATAATTGAATTTCTGCAATCATTTGTAACTTCTTCAAAATTTAATTTTTCCCAGTTACTTTAATAAAAATCCCTGACTTTTCCCTGATTTCCCTGACCAATTTTACATTCCCTGACTTTTTCCTGAATTCCCTGATTTCCCTGACATGTAGCAAGCCTGATTAATTAATATTGAGTATATCAATATTATATAAATAAATAAATTGACGGGATAAAAGTATTTGTTATTTACACAATTGAATATAAATATTGAAAAAAAAATTAATTAGTGGAAGGGGAGGGTAATTGCAAACTTGACGCAACCCTAATCGTAATCCAAATTCGGGAGGGGGGTTCACAAAATGGCCAAGGGTTGAGAGAGAGAGAGAGAGTGGGGTGCAAAACGAGAGACCGCAATCCAACCATTGTACAACATGTTTATGTATCGCGGGCTGCATTAACGTTTGCAATTTATGCGAACTATAACCCCCTCTCCCCCACCACTTAAATTGGAAATATTCACCATCCCTCTCTCTCTCCCTCTTCTCTTCATCCTTTAAACCGCGAATTCACCAACGTGGTTTGAGCCTACAAGTTCACAGCAGGGCTTCTCGTGTTCTAACTTTTAACTATGCTATTTATATGTCAGCCCTCACAAAGTCACTTACGATTTTGCGTGGGTGCGAAGGAAGATGTAGAAGATGAAAGTTGTTTGAGAATTCGTTAATTCTCAGGACCATATATACTCTCATCACTTTCAAATCACAAAAGTCTCTCTCTCTCTCTCTTACTACGCTTTTTGGTTCCGTCATACACATCGCTCGTCACTTACGAGGTGATGATGCAGTTATAAACACGTTTTCGCTCTTGAAAAAAAATTCTGTCACGTTTTTTAATTTCTCTATCATCTATTAGAGAGAAAATTGGATAGAATTTTTTTTCTCGAGGAAGTATTTCCGCAAAACGAAATACTGATAGTTTAGATAAAATATTTTTGTAATTTACGCAATCGATTATAATTTACCAAGAGAAGTAAATTGTAGTGTTGATTTTTAATTACAATTTTTTTTCTGGATATCGTAATTCCTGTCACCGTTTAGGAACCATTATTCCGTAACGAATAGTTTCATTAAAATTCCATTAATAAAAAATTAGTTTCGGCAACAGAAAAAAAAAACAATGGAAGGAACTGGCTGGATTAATCCTCACGTATAGGTCAGAAACTGTTTTAAAAGTTAAAACTTGGAATATTATAGCCCTGAAAGAATTACCAAGTAAGTTTGGTGTTTCTTATGAAATACTCAGGTGCAGCTGGAGCGAATTTAGAATTTAACGAGGTTAAAGAACAAAAAAAAAATAAGTTCATAATAGCTTTTTGTGTACTGCATTTTTACTCGCGGCATATGCTCTCTAAAATCGACTTGAAAATTTAATTCAGAATTAAATTATATATTTACAACTTTTAATTTTTATTATTTTGCAATACCCTTTCTTAAAATGTCTCTTTCTACAAGAATAATTTTTTTGCCTCGGAATTTCGATTCCTTCAGTAAATCTTCTTTATTGCAAATTTTCTTTTTCTCAATTATTTTACATTGATTCGATTAGCATAAATTTCTATTTTCCGATCCCATCGTCTCGTCTAACTACTCTCGTAATCTTCTGATGTACTCAATTCCGAAACTAAAGGAAAAAAAAGAGTGAACGTCTGCTTTATTTAAATTCAGTATGGATGGTTTTTTTTCCTTTGCGAAACTATCGCTACATTTCTCTCTACTGTCTGGATTACGAGAACGATCGGAGTTTTTCCCTAGTTTATGGATGAATGATGATTCCCTGGCTTGTAATTTGTTGGATACTGAACGCCACATAGGGATTGGGAATATTGGAGTCAATAGTCACGCAGACAGGGAGAAAAAGATTTTAAGGAACAAGTCGAAAATTCTCTCTCTTTTAAAGGATACTTTTCAAGTTTTCCTTTCTATTTACCTGGGAGAGAATCCCAAACTCTAAAATCAATGGGATGGAAAGGAAGCGAAGCAGAAACGAACCGAGGTTTAATGCTTGCAAGTATTGAGGAAAAAAATTTCGAAATGTTAGTTCCTGCTTTTTATCGTACAGTCGATCGAAGTGAAAATTATTAGCTTATGGTGTAAACATGTCTGTTTCTCTGTCTCTCTGTTAGTGTGAATACGGCAGTTCTCGAGGCTAATCGATTTCATCTAGTGAAACGTGTTCAATTCCATACGACAATAGGAAACTAATTATGTTCCTGTTTTACAAACAAACATGCATGTTTGCTTTCTAGTATTTACTGTATCGTCTATTTGTTATCTATCAATACTCCCCATGTAAAAAAATGTGTATTCATTTGAAAAAAATTTTAACAATTGAAAAAGAATGAATCTTCGTGTTCCTTTAAGTATCGAGAAGATAAAATTAGATCCGTTAATCAGGAGGTCATTAAATTTAAGACTTCTATAGTGTGGCGGGTCTCTCGTGACAGATTATCACAGGTAGCACACGCAAGTTGAAAGAATGGTTTTAAAAGAAATTTAACGAGCCTCGAAAAAGGTTTCTTCACGGATGGTTCGTTCGATTACTATAATGATACATCTCGTTAAGGGAACTGTGTGTGTATGTATACTCACATGTGTCTATCGCATGTCCAACGTAGTTGTTGAGAATTAACGTGCAAAATGCGAAGCAAATCCGTAGGTAGTCCATCGTGCTTCTAGTCCGGGGGCCAGTAATCATCGAATTCTCATAACCACATCTGTAATTTAAAAAGAGAAAAAAAATACTATTAGTCACAGTTATTCTTTCGCTAGAAGTGTAAAAACATATTACGTTAGTGGATAATCATTAGTCGGTGGATTTAACGAGAATTTACCACATAAGAAATTATTGTTTTCTTGTGTGTTGTTCTGGGAGAAATTCCACTTTAACAAGCAAATAGTGGATAATAGTTGGGTAAAAAAGGGGTCTATTTCTTAATGCATTTGCCGAGTGGGACTTGAGAGACAGCTTTCAGGTGGTTAAGTAGATCGCGAGACGTTGATTTCCCCCCGTTTTTTAATTGTCTTAAGGTAACGCTATTCCTTTCGTACTCAATTTCTTCTTACAACTAATTTGATTATCTTCAAATAATTTCTTAAGAACAAAAAACAATTTACATATACGAACCGAAATCATCAAAAATGACTTTGAATAAGCTAGAGAAGGGGAATTCAATTTTCAAATGGAAACTTTGATAGCACTCCTCGTGAGCCCTGTAGACAGCATGTAAACCTTAATAAAACCTAAAACCTCTCATTGGACCTCGCCTTTTTCACAAGAGTGGTAGGGTGAAAAAGGGGGGGTTTTTGGTATAACGAAAGGGCCAAGGAGAGCCGCTCGCCTATTTCGGCTTTCTTGTACTCTTTTCGGACGGGTGAAATGGCGCGATTCTCGAACCTCGAGATAGATATATGAGCGGGGTTTTGTTCAGGAGCAACGAACAAAGAGCAACATTCACGCTACCAGCCATTACGCGTCATTATCGAGATTAGGATCGAGCATTCGAGAGAGCGGCGCCCCACGGTAGTTTGTTTCTCGACGTCGGGGCCGTCGTGAAGTAGGCGCTCACAAAAACAAAAAAGAAATTCTCTCCCCAATAAATAAAAGAATCGAAACAACTTACGAGTTAAATTACAAGAAGCAAAAGAATCCAAAGTTGAAAAAGAAATTAAATTTAGAAAAAGGGGATATTTAATAAAATAAATCTAACATATTGGAAATAATGAAAGAAGCTGCGATATCGAAGAAACTTCAAATGAAATATCTTGGAGGACCATATTGTTGAATTTAATTGTTATCATAGAAGCTTCAAATGAAGTATCTTGGGGACCGTATAATATTGTTGAATTTAATTGTTATCGTATAGTCTAAGAAGCTTCAAATGAAGTATCTTGGGGAGCGTAGAATATTGTTGAATTTAAATTGTTATCATACTAATTTCACATTGGATGACTTTACTCATCGAGTTAACCACTTCAAATTTAGTATCATCGGATCTTTGAACTAATTAACAAACTTCTTTTGATTGTAATCCTTTTTTACATGATCTTTATCAAATGAAATGTGGGAACTTAAAAAAGGGAGTCATTATTTCGCGTCCCACTGTTGCTGAAATTGCTGACTGTGCACACAGTGACGACCACGCACAGAATCCCTTTTCGTATTTAATCCGATCGTAAAAAGATCTTCCCTTCACAATCTCCTACACTTTCTCTTCAATGTTTTGAATCAGTACTGCAATTGACGATTTCTACGAATGCCAAACAGTAAATTTTAACATTGGGCGGATATGCGCTTCATTATGTCAACTAGTAAAATTCTGATTGCTCTCAAGTTTGCAATACAAATATAAACATTTCGTAGGCGTGATTCAAGTGGAAAATAAATCTAAAGTTCAAGTGAAATTATTTTTTTAATTAATTTCACTTCTTACCACCCTTTTTCTACATTATTTATCATATCAATTAACTAATACTTGTAATAAATTTTAAAACCGGACTGTAGTTTTATTCCTGAGTTATTAAGAAAAGAAAAAAATTCACAGTGATGAATTTATTCTTCTCATAGAAGAACCATTATAATTATGGCTCCGAAATGAAAGATTTAATGAGCTTCAATTTTTTTCCCTACACTTTTTTTTTAATTTGGGGAAATTAAAAGAACATCTGGAATTTAAAAGTACTCTTTTACAATTAAGCTTGAAGTTTTTTTTACACGTTCCTCATTATGCCAGTTTGGTGAATCGTGAAGAATAAATCGTGCGCAAAAAGGGACTAATTATAAATATAAAATTTTTTTTAGCGTTATTACACTCTCTTATGTGGGAGATAAAAAAAAGTAGAGAAAAAGAGAGAGAGAGAGATATAAAAACCGATTTTCACGAAATAAAAATACTAACGCCTTCGACAGTATTAAATTCGAACTGTAATGGAGTTACATGCGAGCGGGATACAATTATAGCCCTCGTAACAGTTTTAACTAAGAGAAGATGGAGAACGAGAAGCGAGTTTCCGGGTCGTTTAACGACGCGAGAATTCGAAATTAACTCGCACCATGGTTTTGTAAAATTGACAATCGAATGGCCTTCCATCCGATCGGAACATCTACTTTTTTTTCTTTAATAAAAAGGGGAAAAAAACATTTGAAAGAATAACATTGTTTTCATATTTAAAAGTATTTGCATTTTTATAGGGTGGCTCATAAAATTATTCGGATTTTAATTCTTTTAACATAAAATGAAATCTTTAGACATTTTTTTCATATATTTTATGAAAATATTTTCACTATTTCATATATTTTAAAAAATATAGTATTGGAAATATTTAATTAAAAATACTTTTGATAATGTTTAAATAAAAATTGTATATATTTCAAAATGTTTGTTAAAACATTAAAATAAAAACCTTTTCAAAAAAATTTAAATAGAAATGTTTTTGTAAATATTTGAATATAAATGTTTTTGAAAATTTTCAAATAACACTTAATATTTATTACTAATTATTCTAAAATAATTTTTAATTTCTATTTTCAGACTATACAACAAAAGTTGGCGTCAGGTGTGAGAGAGTCTCTTTTTCAACCACGTGTTTTTGATGACATCCTCAAAATCTTCAACTTTCATAAATATTAGTAAAATCGGGAGTGTTCGTATTTCTTAAAACCGCGATCGTATAAAATCACAAAAAATTTGCTATTTTTACAGTCAACAGGTGATTACTGACTGCTCGAAATATTTAAATCTGGAAGTGTATTTTTTCCTGAAGATGACAACGATCGACTTCAGCTCACTGTAAGTTTTTACAATATTTTCTAAATGTTTAACAAAAATTTCTTTTTCGTAATTATTTTGCACGAATTCTTTTTTTCCAAGGGAAAAATAAAAAAAGCAAACAACATTTAGAAAAATAATAATTTAAAGTTATATGTTAATTTGATATTCCGCGCATTCTGATACTTCAAAAAAGGGGGGAAGAAATTTAGTCCATAGAAAAAAAGTTGATGCCACTTATTTGCTGAGTGACAGTGAAAAAGCATATTATAAGTTCATGTATGGGACGACAACTAAAATTCTGTGGGCTTCGGTCAGACAAATTAAAGACCGAAGAAAACGGGTTCCCGCAGCGTAGGCGCCGTCCAAAAGCTCGCGAGAGCTCTTTATCTCAGTTATAATCATCGCGCGATCTTCATGAGAGGACTAATTAACAGAAATTACAACGGGCACGGTGACAGCGTTAAATTCTTTTTTTTGTCCATTGCATGTTCCACATGCAGCTGTTCATTAACTCATATATTCCAATTTCGGTGCAATTATATCATTAGGATCGAATTTATTTGCGCGTCAAACAATCATTTCTGAACTGTGTGAGGAGAAAAACATCGTTCTCGGCCTTTAAATTCAATAATTCAAGAATTTCGTTTTTTCTCCCACTGGAATGATGACTTGTTTTTGTCGTAACATTTTCAGTCACATACTTTTAGCCAAGCGATTCGGAATATTTAGTTGAATAGTTTTTTTCTATTATGCTCTACCTACACAGCAAATATTTGCATAATATTTTACTGATTTGAAATTTTTAGATTCCTAACGTTCGCTCTTTTGTCCTTGTCTCTTAACGCATGCGCGTTGATGCTTTTTGGGAGAAACAATCGTTCATGCGCATGCGTCGCTAGAGAGAGAAAGAAAAGGGGACGGTAGATCCACTAGCTGACTCTTTCTGTCGATCTAACGCTTCCACCTATTCATTTTTTATTGTAATATCTTTGTTTTAGCAAATAGAAAATTTATTTAATGTTTATAAGTACCAGATCTAATGGATGCATTTATTTGTAATCGGAATAAAAGAATCGAGCACTAAATGTACTGATGATCGTTGGCTTAAAAGAAGTGTGAATCGAATCGGTATTTTACGTGTAGCAAACACCTTTTTTCTCCCGAACTGGTTCAGCGAGAGAAAAAGAAAAGAGAATCGTCGACTAATTACGCGATTCTCTTTTGACTACCGTACCCATGCAGATGTTTATCTTTCACTAAGAGCAAGATGGGTACCCTAGATGGAAACACGTCCTGATTTATAAGACTTGACTCCTTCAAAAACCGGTATCACGTACCCCTAAGGCACATCAAGATGATGTGAAGAAACGTCACTGTTTCTCTTTATACCCGCTAAAAATTAAATATTTCAATAAACATATTGATTGTATTTTTAATTTCTACTACTCTTGAATGTAATAAAAAAAATAAAACAACAATTTATACTTGAAATGCGATAAATGTTTTCAATTTGCAATTAAATCGGACTTTGATTTTGTATGCAAAAGCTTTCGGGAAATTTACAATTTCAGGAATGCTTTCTTCCCTACCGTTTGAACGTTTCATCTGAACACTATAGTATCATGAGATCAAAGGAAGTCTTTTGTTTGCATGAGAGAGTTAAAATTTTTATTTTTTTTCTCCTATCAGAATGAATGCATTTGTAATTAAAATTTATGTGAATCTTAATTAACGAGGGATATAAATTTTTTTTTGTGAAATTTTTTTTCTTGGCTCATGATTCAAGTGCTTAATCATGGTTTCATTACCTGACGGATAAATGCACCGCAAGGCAAATTGACTTACGGTTGGCATGTTTAAATGCTCATAAAGCAGTTTAACGATTAGGTCTCGTTTCATGCGTATGATAAATTCAATGATAATGATGCTCAAAGAAATTTTATTCATGTCTCAATTATTAAATCAAGTTAAACGTTTGGGTAACAATTTTTTAGGGAAATATTGTGATTGATTATAAATGTTAGATTTAGTGTTATATTAATTTGTGTTTTCTGTTGTAATTGTATTGTCTCGAATACTTTTAACTTTCTTAACGTATTAGTTTTTTTTAAAACAATTTGAAGATCTAACCAAGAACTCTCCTCCAAAAAATGGGAAGAGCTTTAGAATGTTTTCCTCATGCATTTCCCAAAAGCAGCTTTGTATACGTTGCCCGAATTGCGTCCACGTCGTATTGCACAGGAAGCCACACTTAACGATCTCACCATACGTCTCTTTAGGTCTGACGGTTTTGCGGTGCCTTGCGTATACATAGAGTGGTTTCGCCTTGCCGCGAACTATAGGGAACTTGAACGTCATAATTCATCCCAAAATGTTCTCCTACATTCTGTCCGTTCGGCCGCGGGTTATATGCGCCGCAAAAGGGGCCAACTTTATTCCTATATATATAGGCGACTCGACAATGTAGACGATGCACGCAAGGGATAAAGGTGTAGAGAGATAGAGAGAGAAGGGTTTTTGAACCAACTCACCCAACCTGAGTTGAGGAAAAAGGTGAAGAGAGTGTTAGAGTCTGTATATAGTTCGAGGGAGAGAGGACTATGAATTATGCAGTTTGCTTCAGGCTACAACTCCCCAAAAAAATTCCCGGTTAAAAAAAAATGCTTCCACCCTTTTTTCTTCTTTTCAGAACTGACTCTAAAATGATTCGCGCCTTCAGCAAGTGGCCATTCTAAACAATATTTCCGGAAATTTTTCCACACACTTTATTCTGAAAATTATGTATAGGAAAAATTTTCTTCTAGTCGAAAAATTATTGATAATGTGATTAATTTTTAATATTTAGAGATTAGGGTAAAGGGGATTTGTAACAGTTATTATATGAATGAGGGTTGGGATAATTTGTACTGTTGATAAAAATCAAGGAAATTATATGTGTGGTTCCGTAGGGGATAGAGGATGACGTCAACTTTCTTTTACTGTCACGCAATTTATATTAGTGTGTCAGAATATTTCATGAATTTGAAAATTTTTTCCTATATTCGAATCATCAGCAATTTCGTTACTGAGGGTTTGAGAGTGAATTGCGTATCGTTTGTCGGGTCCTAAGGCACTTTGCGCCATTCCTTCGTTTTGCCACTAAAGTCAAAGACCCTATCGTCCAAATGTTAGGTGCAAAATTTAGTTTATTATATTTTCGTTTCCATTCCCTTCTTATATCACCTTTACCTCTGTTTCTTTATTTCGCTCCGGGGTCTTTTTTTACATCCACACTTCTGCATTTAAAACAATTGAAATTTTCATTTAGCAACCAGTTTAATGTCGCATACAATTGACACGTACTTTTGCCTTTGGCGAAAAAGAAGAATTACAGAATGCACTTACTGTGCTTAAGTTGAGAAGAATGAATCCAGAAGTACTTCCATTTCTCAGATTCAAAAACGAACAATTGAGGGATTTTTCCAATCCGACAACAAAGAAGCATTGAGTTGGATTTTGGTGCAGAGTGTATAGAAGATTTTCGAAAATTGTGAGATGAGTAAAAAGGGTTTAGAATAAAGAACAATGATCACTTTACAATATTTACTTATTTATTTTGATATTTTTAATATAATTAGTGTTTCATAATTGTTTCTCAATTACAACGGAAAAGTAACATCGATCTTTCAAAAAAAGCGTGATCAAACATATAATTAAACAGTAAAATTCAACTTACAATTAAAAATAACATTAAGTATAACAAACAAAATACAAAGTAAAATTAGCACAATAAACATTTTTCGGTTTTATGTTCAGCAGATATCTTAGTGAATCAAATTATTTGTAATTTGTTTAACGATTCATCGTTACAAATACTTTTATTATTCAAGATATACTGGCCGTCTCCAACCAACTCTAAATCTATATGATCAACAAATTTTGCTAAAAGACCAAAACTTATTTCACTGTTGATTCCGTACAGTTGTATTGTCCATGTAGCAAAAGGACTCAGGATATAATCATTGAAATTTAAACCTTTCTGTTTGTAGAATATTCCCATTGTATCGGTTTTAATAAGATGCACTTTATTCATACATCTGTAGTAAGAATCTCCGTGGTGAATAAAAAGAATGTTAAAATACTTTAGAACATTATTCAATTCGTAATTCATTTCAGAATCATCAGAAGTAAACGAAATATCTATATTGCGAAACTTAATGGCATTCGAATTTTGTGCTTGGGAGATATTAGCGAATAGAGTAATACGTCTTCCTTTAAGAAGATCCTTAATCTTTTCAGAATAACTAGCATTATTCCAAGTAAAGAATGCTGGCTTTAATCCTTTATTTCCAAAATAACTATGAGAAGCTGTTTCCAAGAGTCCATTTTCTTTACGCAAAAGTGTCTCCAAACTACGTAATTTTCCAATTGAGGTATCCACATCAACAGAACCATTATTTAGTAATTTAGGTAAATCTGAAAAAAATTGGGAAAAATTGCCTAAGAACGGATACGCATAACCCTTCAAAGCAAGCACAAATGTTTTGCAATAGTCTTTAATATCGTTAGAATATTCCACTTGTTCTATGTCTCTTAAAACTCTGAAAACATCTTCATCTTTTATTGTCATATTCTGAACTAATGTACTTTCCATATTTTTCACATAATCCACATTTCTCTGTTTTAAATTATTTTCTTTAATAAGGTTCTGCATATGTAAAATCATATCGATTGCCTTTTTTACTATTTCGATTGTATTTTTAATTTCACTGTTAGTCTGATTTTCTAATGCAGATTTAACTTGTGATTTAACATCATTTAAAAATTTATCCATTTGTTCTTTTTTGTGTTCAAGAAGAGTAGTCAAAGATATTGCAAATCCAGATATAATCAATTTGCTTCTAAAATTGTCAGTTAATTGTGATATAATATTGTGCATGCCATTTTTATAATATTCCGTTGTAAATGCATTACTTTCTTCAACTTGAAATGTTTCTTCAATCGTATTCAATAGAAACTGGTGTTTGGAAATTTTACCATAACTCATGATGCCATTATTGGAAAATTCCAATGCCTGTCTTGTTCTTCTGGTAATATCCAATGATTTTTGATAGTTATTATATTTTTTATTCTTCTTTTCACATCTTATTTCTCGCTTTCGTATCTCAGTAATCATACATTCTTTTATACGGAATGCTTGATTAGAGATTAAAATACATTTTTGATACGCATCTTGGTACAAGTTAGCAACTGTTTTTAATTTCTTGTCTGATGAATTAATTTCATTATTTTCCTCTTTCATTATATTTAATTTTGTTTCAGTAAATTTTAGATTTTCGATAATTTCATCATTATATTTTTTCAATGTAGTTTCAACTAAATCAGTTATTGTAAATGGTAGTTTCATTTCGTAATATTTTTCTTTATTAGTAGATGAAATATTGTCAGGTGAATTTGGTTTTATTTCATTGTCAATTACTGCAAGAATGGGATTTAGTACTGACAGTGAGAAAAGAATAAATTTGCAGAATGTCAATAGATGCAGGCTTGACAATCTTTTTTTGAATTCGTTTATTTTGTTATCCTTTTTCACATCAAGTTCTTCTAATTGTTTTGTAATGTCCTTGTTTAAATCGACTATTTCATTCTCAACTTTAAGCTTTTGATTATTTATGAATTTTTCATTTTCCTGGATAATGTTTTCTAAATTCTTCAAGAAGAGTTTTCCTGTTTCTTCTATTTTCGTGATTCTTGTATTTTTAAATTTTTCTATACACTGATCTAATGAATAATGTATTTCATTAATGGTTTCATTGTATTCACTTTGAAACAATCTTTTCAATATTAGTTCATTTAATTTGGATGAGAATATTTTATAGTCATTACTTAAATTTTTGTCTTCTTTAAGCAACACGAGACGCATTTCAGTATATATAGAATTAAAAACAGATGTTTTCGCTTCTAAAGAGTAATAATATTCCAAGTCTAATAATTCATAAGCAAAGTAATTTATAGGGAGAATATCTACAAATTTCTGATCATTGAATTTTTTGTATAAATTTACGTATTCCATTCGATCAGTAGTAAAGGCTTTGTGTAAAATGAATCTTTTGTAATCTGAGATACTTAAAATAAAATTGTCTTCTTGGATATTAGTATCTAAATTAGAGGAACTAATGCTTAGTTCATTTTTTATTCTTCTACCTGCTATTTGGCAAAAACTTTTTTTTTCTACAATCATGTTTTGAATATAAGCATAATCCACTTCTAGTCTCATAACTTTACCAGATCTGCCGTTTTTACCTTCAGCAAACGACAACTTTATATTTAAATTAGTAAAATTATTAAGTAGATAAATTTTAGCAAAACCAGGAACTCCACCGTTTCCTCCTTTACCTTCAAAATTCTCTCGAAATATATCACACCAAGAAATATTTTCAAAAGTCCATACTAAATCATAACCATCTTGTCCGTCAGATCCATTACCGCCATTACTAACAATTTGTAAGTTTTCTTTATTAATAATATTATCAACGATTCCAAAGAATGTACCTCCGGGTCTTCCGGATGAACCATGTAAACCATAAATACCATCAGAAAATGTTTCTGGGTCCTAAAAATTTTGTTTTATTTATATAAATTAGTTTTAATTTGGAAAAGATTATTGTGTAATATACTTACCCAAATATTTTGTCCAGGAGCTCCATCTAAACGTATAATTCTGCTTGAAATAATTTCCCAAATTGGTGCAATTATATTGAGTTGTTCCAATTCATTACTTATCAGATCTTCATCAATAACAATTTTATCCGTAGCAAACATTTCCAAAACTGATACTTTTCCAGGACAATAATCAGTATACAAAGTCTGACTAAAATTAATGACATCTCCTTTTAGTTTCAGATTGTAGTTTCCATTATTATTTAATAAAGAGCATGAATGATTGATTTGCGATTTTAGAGAATTGTTCACTATGTAGAAAGCCTCAATCATTAGTTTTTGCTTTTTCTCGTCAATTTTGAATATTTCCTCATAGAGTTCTTGTGCTTTCATCAAAAGTTGTGTTCTGTTTTCACTAATTCGATTTTGAAAAATTGATTCTAATTTGAAAAACCACGCTTTTTCATCAGCATAATAATAATTTACGATAAAGTATTGTAAAAGACTTAATAATTTGAATTCTTGGTTTGGTCTGCGACCATCAACATATCTCACAATACAAATCATTTGCACAATTTTTATTTTTCCTGATCTGCTGCTGCAAAGGTCAACTATAAATTTTTTAATCAGTTTGTCATTTCTATTTTTGTTTATATACATTTCTTGCTTGGATTGGGTTATCCAATTTGGAAAAGATAATAGGCCCCTTAAAGATGTTATGTCTGTGGTTTCTTTGTGATTTTTATTGTAGTTAAGAAACATTTTTTTAGTACATGTGTCAGTAGGATTGTAATTGAAGACACTGAAATATCGAATGCTAATAATGTTTAAATTTGTTGGTAGGAAATCTTGAACAAGAAAATTGCCTGCTTTTCTAAGTGGTTGACCTTGTACTTTCTTGTTAAAAAAGTAATTTTTTTGAACAAATATCAATGCAAGATATTCCAGTTGATCTTTAAAATGTAAACTTTTAAAGTTACTCTGGTTACGAAACCATGTATCCAAATCCGTTGTGTCTAAATATCTTGTGAATTTTGCAATTAGGTATTTTTTAAGTTGATCCTTCATTGTTTGATATGAACTATCGTCTTCTTTAATGTTTGAAGGCAGAATAATAATTTTATTTTGAAGTAGATCAAAGTACCTCTCCATGTCCAATTCTAATATTTCTGACGCAATTAGAAACATAGAATTCAAAGTGAATTTATTTATTTCTTTTTTACATGTGAGTGCAATTTTTAAATTTTTAGAAGATGTTATAGTCATTTTCGTCAAATATGTTGCTAACAAATGATTCTGTACATTTCTAGGATAAACTAAAATGTATGTGTTTATTTTTCTACTGTAATACAAATAATGATTTTCAATTATCATTGTAAATAGTATTGGATTTGTATATCTTATTTTTTCTGCTAAATCAACTCTTGATTCATTGCTAATAAAATTAGCTAACTCTATGCCATCCTTCATATCATCTACTATTACAAGAAATAGTTTTTCATATTTTTGATTAACAAGAACTTCATTTAATGTTTTTAATGATTCAAAAAATGTTGAAAATATGCAATTATATTCTTCTGATTTTGTAGAAGTCGGAAATAGGGATGTCTGTAAAAAAAGGTCTTTTTACATCCTAAAGAAAGTAATCTCAAAATTGAAGGAAAAGTCCTCTTCTAATATCCTCTCAAAACAAAATTATTTCCCTTGAATGTAGAATATTTTTATTCATTGGTGGTTAATAATAAAACAAAAAGAATTTCAAAATAATTATTTAGGACTTTTTTGTCATATTGAGTCTGGACTATTGCAAAATATTTTTGAATTTATTTTGGATCTAATTTATCTTAATGATATATTCTAATTTGTGCTATACATACCTCTACTTCACGAACCAGTTGGTTAGGAAATTTATATTGAATAATGTTATCAGTCTCATTTGATATTTGAGTTTCTTTAGTATTCGTATCATTTTCAAAGCACACATTTAAATTGGAAAGCCATTTTTTTTGATGTTCTAAATAGTGATATATAATTTGTTGAAAATAATTGTTCGATATCAGTTCATTGTCAATAATATTTCTAATGAAACACATTAATTTAAAAATTTTAATATTCATTTCGTGCTTACAAAAATTGTCGATTATTACACTGATCAATTCTTCATTGCTAAATTTTATTTTTGAAGCATCTTTGCTTGATAAGATTAATCGATGTGGCAAAAAGTATAAATCTGTCATGAAGGATATGTCAGTTGTTTGTATTTTCTCAAAACATTTGTTATTGATAATGTTAGTCTCAGGTGTTAAAAAATTGAAAAATTTTATTAATTTAAGTCTTTTTGGTAGATAATTGTCCTTTAAAATCAGAAGAGAATTTGAACATGATTTATAAACCTGATTTGCATTACCCAAAATAGATTTCGAGACAAGAATTTCTAATTGTTGCTTTTTAGTGAAACGCTGCAAGTTGTTTTTGTCATTCAGTGCTTCATCAAGAAAACGATAACTAAATTTATTAAACTTCTCATTAATGTAAGCCAATAATTCTTCAAATGCACCTCTACATTCTTCATTATTATCCATATATGATGGGAGAAAGAAAATGCTGTGTATCAGTTGTGAAAAATCTCGTTGAATGTCAACGTCTAAAATATTTGATGCAATTTTAAATATAGAATTCCATGTATCGTCGTTATAATTTTCACATGTAAGTGCAACTTTGAAATTTTCTGCCTTATTGATAATCTTGTTTGTTAGGTATGTTGCCAACAAAGTATTTGAAGTGTTTCTAGGATAAACAAATATGTATGTGTCTCTTATCCAAGAATAGTAAAAATAAAAATTTTCCCATATTTCATTTTTTACAATGAATTCAGCATCAGAAAGTGGTTCTATATCAACTTCTATACGTTCGTCACTCAAGAAATTAGCTAACATTATCCCGTCACTCATATCATATGCTATTATGATAAGTAAATTGTGCATATAATAATTTCCAAAAGCTTTGTCTATTAAAGACAATTTATCGTATGAATTTACAAATTCACAAAAAGAGATGTTTGATTTTTGCAAATTAGAAAGTTCGTTCTGAAAAAATTGTTTTTTCAGAATGATAACACAGGTCAACAAAAAAAGACTTACTTTTTTATGAGATAGCGGAATGGTTTTCTATGTATTTTGGACGCTGAACACGATCCCGACTTCCAAAATTGCCCATCACGTTAGGGTTTTAAGAAAAGTGGAGGTAAAGACCACAAAAACGCTTTTTTGAGGATTTTCAAAATTTTTTTTCTCTTTAACCTGGCGTGTTAGAGACTTCCACACACATTTCTGATGTATTCAACCCCATTTTTTGAATAAAATTTGAATTTTTTTTATTTTATGGATATGGGTCTTATAGTGCACATTACAAGCTTTAATTTAAGACCTTGCGTTGAAGTCTCTAACAGGTCAGGTTAAAGAGAAAAAAAATTCTGAAAATCCTCAAAAAAGCGTTTTTGGAGTCTTTACCCCCACTTTTTTCAAAATCCTGACGTGATGGGCAATTTTGGATATCGGGATCGTGTTCAGCGTCAAAAAATACATCGGAATTCCGCTATCTCATAAAAAAGTAAGTCTTTTTTTCTACGTGTGTAATTAGATTTTTTCATTTACCAATTCAAAGAAATGGTTTTTTATTATTTTCCACCTACCTTCGGATGCATATCATGGTAATCATGTTCTTCTGATAAACAGAAATTATTTATTTGTATCAAAACCAAAAGAAAGTACAGTACCTCCTTGTTAAATTTCATTTTTAATTGGATTGTATTTATCAAAAATTGTAGCATTCTTAACTGAAAACGGTATAATATTTACTATTGTTACAGTTAGGGAAAATCTTACAAATATTGTTTGTAAAGAGAAAAAAGTAAAAATTATTTTCAGATCTCCGATTATGCGTAGTAATACTGATCATATTTTCGACTTGCGCAGTAAGGGGCCGCCCATTAGCCATGTAGCCTTTTGAAAACGATGGGAGGGGGTTAAAGCTATTGACTACGATAAGAAGAAAAAATGGCACTAATACATGTAATAGCGTGCTACATGGGGGAGTGGGGGGGGGGGTGAAAATTTTCAAAAAATGAAGCCACGTAGTTTATGGACGATGCCTAACGTTCTTCTGCCTTTATACATGCGTATAATAGAAATATGTGTATTTTTAAGATCTGCGCAATTATAATTATTAAAAGATTTTTGAAAATTTCCAGAGTTTTTTATTTTTCAAAAGGAATTAAAGAATTAAGCTCTAAGTATGATTTATAAGTTATTATTTAATTACTTAAAGTTGTTAGTATTATAATTATTTATTATTTTATTTATTATGTGAATAATTATTTAATTTCTTATATGTGTGGTTGGAATTGTTGAACCCTTTTTTAAATCGACAGCAAATTAAAACAAATTTTTTTCTCTTGTATTTTTTGTCTGTTGAATTCGTAATGAAACGTGGCAGAATACTGAAGTGTTAAAAATTTTCTACGCATATGTTAAATGCACAATTGCAATATTTTCCAAATTTTATTTACAGTTAGCGAATAGGAAAACGACATTTGTCTTGTATTTTTGCATTTAAAATGATATAAAAATGCAGAAAGAAAAAGTCTTGTACGTGTATTTGTGCGCAAAAATTATTACGACTTTATTTTATGTTCTCAACAACATTGACAACAAAAATCTATATGAAATTTACTGTATCGTCACGATGCGCATGTTTGCGTGGTTTATTTCTATATTAGTCTTCTCTGTAGATTAAATCGCTCATCATAAAACCGACCCGCGTGTGTGACCTGTACTCGCCCCGATCATCGAGTAGCGGTAATTAACGTCCAATTTGATCTTCCGCTCAACGGAGCAGAATGTTCGCGGCGCGCGACAATTTGCGCAAGCTGCTCTCCTCTTTCGGTTAAATTATAGCTAGTCTTTAAAATCAAAAAAAAATTAAAAACATTCACACTCCTTGCAAAAAAAAACCAATTGACAATCTGTTTATCATTTCATATAGGGACTTTTCTTGTTTTAGAATATCTTTAGGATTCCTTTAGGATATGACAAAATTCCTTTATATGGTTATCTTTCTTTGAAAATAAAAAACTGTAATGTAGTCAAAGAACCTTCCCCCTCCCCCCCTTCCCTCTCGCGAAGGTTATTCTCACAGGTATTGTATTTTTAAGATCCCCGAGGAATACTTTTTACCCGGTTGAATTCGAATTTTGTGCACATAACATTCGCCTCGTGTACATCGTTGGCGCGTGAAACGATATTCCGATCGTCGTAGGTGCACAAGTCCCTAAGTTTTTTCTTTAGCTTTTTTTTTCTTTTTTTCTACTTTTTGGCTCGTTTCACAGACGCGCGTATACGCGATGCAAAAGCATTCCCTTGTTCGAACTTCCCGTACCCAACCAACCACTACCATCACCTCTACCCGGCAGCGACGACGCGTCTCTCTCGCAAGCCGCACTTTTCGTCTGAAAGGGTCTGATGGGAAACTTTCTCGGTCTCTTCGAATATATCCCTCTCCCTCTTTACCTCCTTCACCTTAACTCACAACTCTCGACTACGAATACCAGAACTGCATTAAACATGGATAAACGATTTATGGGGCGTTGAACGATCCCAATAAAAGAAAAAGAGGAAAAAAAGAAATGTCGAAGAAAAGATTGACTGAAAAATATTAACTCTAGTGGTAAATTTTTCATGAAAAAAGAGAAAATTATTTTTGTTTAGACACGTGGGAAAATTACAGGAACTACAAATAGAATTTGTCGATTTTTTCTTTTGTTACCATTAGGGAGAAATTGCGCCACCTTCAGGGACGCCTTGGAACTATCACATTTTTGCTTCTCTTCTTTCTAACTTTTCCTTTTCAATTTTTAATATTTCTCGACCTTTTGCCCTCTACCGTGACGCTATAGAAGCTTTGACTCCTTTACGCCATCTGCAGGGACGCCTTGGAACTATCACTTTTTTCTTCTCTTCCCTCTGACGTAAAAGTTTAAAAGAATTTCCCTTTTATGATTGTAATTAATTATATTAATTTATAATCTTTAGTAATTTCAGTAAATTAAAAAGATTTTTAAAAATTCCAAAATTTAGTAAGAAAAACCATCGAGATGAAGGGAGGCTATTCGATTATTAATTATCCATACGTACGTAAGGCAATGAATACAAAACTTCAGGGCCAAGAAAGAAAAAAAAGCAAAGATTAATGCGTCGGGAAATAGTTGAAAATCATGTCAAGCTCGGGCAGTTTAATTACCTCTGGGATCATAATCAAACCAATTAACCCTCCGTTTGGAAAAGAACCCTTCTCGAAACTGTGTTTGACTTTCTTCTTAGAATTAAGCTACTGAATAATTCCGCAGAGTCTTTTTAATTCCACATAAGTCTTCAATTTTCTAACCAAAAAAGAAAAGATAAATTAAATAATGCAATAAGTCTTCAATTTTAATATCAAAATATTTTGATCTTCATGTATTTCAAAAAATTACCACAATTTTTGTATTGTCAGAAAAAAATGCGACAAAAAAGTGAAATAGAAAGAAAATACACAGACGAATACAAATCGAGAATTGGTTTTATCAAAAAAATTTTCTATGCACAACGTGAGAAAATGCTACTAACATAAGCATATTTCGAACAGACTTTCGTTATTTGCATTCACACATATATTTGGAACTGTAAATGAACGTGCAAAGATCTCGTAACCCGTTTTGCCTGCTGGCTCGTTTTCCACGCCCCGGACTTTATATTTTATAGGGTGGAAAGGTGTAATGAGCTTTCTGCAAGCTTCGCTCTATGGTCCTCATTAAAAGGACGTCACTGTCGGACGCGAGTGGTCGTATTTTTCCTCTACTATATACACACATACACAGAGAGGTAAACATGTATATATATATATATATATATATATATATATATATATATATATATATATATATATATATATATATATATATAATACTCGAATAACTTTAAGAAACGCAATATGGACATTTTACGGGACATGGACTTAGTAAATGGTTGCATATATAAGAAATGTTTCTGCTCCGCCTCTACAAGTGAAATATGCTCTTATGAATTGGACAAAAAAGAAAGCAGGATCCTAAGTGCTCGTTAAATGGACGCAATTATTTCCTCTTGGAAAGCGGGTTCTTTAGAAACGATCAGAATTGGGAAGAGAATGTATTCCTCTTTACGTGAATAGTACAAGTTTCGTCACTATTATTGTAGGGAGGATAAGAGTAATTGATGTATTTTTAATTTTTATTATCACCATTTAGGAGAAATTTTATTTTCAAATTTTCCCGTTTTTTTGCCCTCTATAGTGACGCTTTGGAAGCTTGAGTTCCTTTGCACCATCTTCAGGGACGCCGTGGAACCATCACGTATTTTGCCTTTCTTTTTTAAACTTGCATCAGTAGAATTTTCATTTTATTGAAAATTGTAATTAATAATATTAATAAATAAATAAATTATTAGTAATAAAGTAATTATTAAAAATAAATAAATTATTTGTTAATATTAAGAAATAATTTGCTGTAATTTTTTTTGTTTTATAAATATATATAAATAATATTTTTTGTCGGTTGTGTTTAGTTTTATAGAGACAAATATTCGCCTCTGTAAGCATCTGTCGATTCAAATGGTAGTACTATAGACCAGACTCACTGCTGATCGCAGTAAAACCGAAAAAGGCACGTTTTTATTGGAAAAAATAATTTCAACGACTAGTGAAAGGTTAAGGGCTATGTTTTGAGTTTGTTTCTTCCAAGAAGGAAGAAAGCAATCTTTCCCATGGGTGTTTATAGGAAAAAAAAAACTTTTTTTGGTCCCAACATTTTCATCGTCTTCTCTTGTACCACAACCAGCATCAGAGTAAGACGTACCTAAATTGTTTTCTTAGGCACTTGGAGCTCTTGGAAAATTTTCTAAATATTTACTCAACGAGTAGAAACGTCCAGGCGGACGGTTCTTATAAACCTTGAGTTCCTCTCTCTCTCTCTCTCTCTCTCTCTCTCTCTCTCTCTCTCTCTCTCTCTCTCTCTCTCTCTCTCTCTCTCTCTCTCTCTCTCTCTCTGTGTTTCTTCTCTTTGAAGGACGGATTAGAGGCACTTGTTAATCTCCCTCTCATTCTTGAAATTTTCATCCCAAAACTATTTGGATAATGAAAATTTCGCAGGAGAAAATTTTTTCTCTGAATTAAATTTTTGTTAGTAACTATAACTTTGTAAATTTTTGTTGGTACACCATTTTTGTAGCTTCTCTTTTCGAAAACGGTGTTTTTGTTTTATTCCTTAATTTCTTTTTTAATTTCAATTCCCCTATCTTTTATTTTGACTTTTTTTATCTTTCTTTTTTTTAAAAGGAAAGATGCATCGAAAATAAAAAAAGATGGGAGGAATGTTATTGATAATAAAGATGAAAGAATCTCGTCACTAGTGACCAAAAGACTCTCAATGAATCTCTCCTCGTTAAAGGTTAAAGCAAAAGATCTACAGTCTACACTCGTGCCAGCTGCACAATTCTTCCAAGGGGGTTTCAGGCAAAAAACATTTCGAGCACAACGTTATAAATGCCGGTATATATACGTTGGGAGAAACTTTTTATTCTTCTCTCTCTCTCTCTCTCTCTCTCTCTCTGTTTTTCTCTACACTCTTGTTATACACTACTATATCCCCCTTCTCTTTATCTGCTCGTGTTCCTCCTACTGGCTATATTTACCGCCATAATAAATTTCAAGTCAGAGTTACACGGGAGTTAAAACGGCTCGCGCCCGCGTTTCGCATAAAATCTCAGCGGATTGCATTGCTCCTTTATCGAAGTCCAGTAAACAAGTTTAAACGAGATTAGACCCTGTAGCCAAGCTTTAGCGAATAAGTGTTTTTACCATGAAAATCAAAAGGAGAGAATAGAGAAGGGGGGGAGGGATGGAAGGAAAATGGTTTATTTACTGATGGTAACGGAATTAAAGTTGTAAAATACGAAACGATGACATTGAATTTAAAATAGAGAATCCTAATACTCTTTTACGAGCTATCTTTACTCGTTGGTACTAAAAATAGTGAGAAGTGAAAATTATTTTCACTTTATTAAAGCAGTAGAAATCGGAAATTACCAGTTCTTATATTTACTGTTATTGTTATTAAATAGAAATACTATTTTTCAATTTCTTTTTCAATTTTCCCGCCCTTTTGCCCTCTATTTTAACGCTATGGAAGCTACGTCTCCTTTGCGCCACCTGCAAGGACGCCGTGGAACTTTTTTTTTGCTTTTCTCCTTTTTTAACGCTACAGTAAAATTTTTATTTTACCTTTACAATTCATTGTATTAATAAATAATACATTAATTAAAATAATTATGAACTGTATGAAATAATAATATTAATAATTAATTAAATAATTATAATTAATTATAATTAATCAATTGTAATATTAAAGTAATATTTTTTGAAAATCGTAACTAATATATTTTCTCTAGTGCGGATTAAATTTTCAAAAAGTTTTCCAAAGCTTTTCATTGTTATTATATTCATGTCCAAAGTTGAGAGTTTATTTCTCTACATTTTTTTTCACATTCAACATACGGATCACCCTCTTGATTCTTCGCTTAGTCCGATGGGGACAAAAATTGCTTTCTCGACTCGATGAAACTATATCTATATAAGAGGCTTTTGAAAATCCGAATAAAACAGAAAAAAAATATCGAAGACCATACAACTTTGAAAGCAGCTGGTAATTGATACACGATTCTTCAATCGGTTTCGGAAACCGATTTGAAATTTTCAATATAAAGCACATCATTATCCCTTCCTATCGCTAAAAAAATATAAAGCTTTCTCATGATAAAGCAAAAAAAAAGAACCGATATACTTGTCCTTCCTACTCTTGGAAATTATTGGAAACCGTTTCCAAATATTTTTATTTAATCAAAGAGGTCGATTTTTGGAGTAAGAGTAATTTTTCTCTTCTAATTCATATATGTGTATTCAGAGTTTATTTCACGGTGGAAAACTTTGGTTGAAAATATTTTTAACGTAGACGGTATAGATTATAAGGATCGACGTACGTGACCACACGTTAATCCGCGAGATTCGGTATTGCATTGAATTGGTATTTACCGCGGAGGGCACGATTTCTTTTTTTTGGCATCATTCGAAAATACAGGAGAAATATAAAGAATTGAAAAATTGAGTTTTTTTGTAGGAAGAAGAAAAAAGGAGTACAATGATGTATTGCGGAAAAAATCATTTTTTTCTATGGATAGTAATCTTGAAAATATATAGTTTGAAGCATATCGAATTTTTTGATTCTTTTTTCTCACTAACAGCTGGAATTCCATCTGGAAAATTTAGAATTTAATTGTTTTTTTCTCAAATTTTCCCGCCTTGTTGCTTTGGTGTATTTGCGCCATCTTCAGGGACGCCTTGGAACTATCACGTTTTTTGCTTTTATTCATTTTTAACACTGCAGTAAAATTTTCATTTTATTATTACAATTAATTGTATTAATGAATCATTTAGAAATTATAATTAATAAATCAGTAATTACAATTAATAGTTAGTAATTGAATTTAGTTTTTCTTTGCGAGAAAATCGACAGAAATTTGCATTAAACAATTTGATTTTCTCATCAGTAACTAGACTGAAGTGCTTGTTAAGTAAAACTCAAGTTCAAGAGCACTGAAATTGTGACCAAATTGAACCAATCAAATTCGAAATTTTATTTTTCTTTTGTTTACAATTTTGCAAGATGATGATGAGAGGGAAAGAGATTTTTATTGTATAGAGTGAATGACGATCAAGTTCAAATAACGCGGAGCAAATCCCTCGAGATAATGTACAAGTGGATTGGAAATTAGCTCTCGGAAGACAGCTAGAGAATCATATGGTGAATAATTGTGGTTGGTTTGGTATGTATTGTCATAGATCTATATATATCGGCTGTAACGTTCCCAATATTCGACGCGGCCTTACACGAACAATGCCTTTTCTCTCTCTCCGTCTCTCTCCCTCGATTCATGGAACATGCTCGAGGCATGGGTCTCTAAAGCCGTGAATGACGAGCATTCGAGCGAATGGGACCAATCAGCCTGATTGGCCGACCGGTATTTACATTTCTGCGGGTTGCGCGCTTCACCTACCGATCGTTGCAAAGCTGAAGAGAATGGAAGCTTGAGTCCTCGAGGCACATTTTGGAAGCAGCTAACGATAGCGCAAAATCAATTTTCAACTCGCTTCAAACAAGTGGAGGAGTATCGATTCCCAGTAGCATTGAATATATAGACAGAGAAAAGCAGAGAGCAAAAGAGACAGACAAAGAGAAAGAGAGGCTATTTCTAATCAAAAGTCATTACCAAAATAAATTCTGGAATTTATTTCCAGAAAGGAAAAAAAGCAATTATCGACTTTTAAATATTTAGGTACAAAAAAATATGTATTTTACCAAAATCGTATATTTGACAAAATTTTAAAAGCGAACATTAGGAGTGTAAAAAAAAAATCTGGTCACTTTCGTTTGGCTCCTCTAGTGCTGTACGGTACACGCACCGGATGTTGGAAAACATGTATATACACACTGGCAGAGAAGATACTCACAAAGTTTCAAAACATCATAAGGGCTTTACAACTCTCTACAGAAGCAACACATCTGGTTAAAATTTATATTCTGTGTATCTCTTTCCAAAAACGTTTATTAGGAACGTTTTCTTCTTTTTTAAACTTTGGGAGCAGTAAATTTTCTACCACAAATGAGGAAGTAGAATCACATATATTACATCGTGCCATTAAGCCTGTCAACTACTTTATTCCGTTAATCATTATTAAATCCCAAACAGAAATTTTTGAGTTCCTAATGAATCAAGAGGGGGAGTTTTTTTTTAAACCTCTTCTGTAGAATCTGAAGCGGAATGGAGATTTTTTTTTCCTGTTGGACAAGAGAAAAGGGTTCTAATAGTGTTACGACTGTAAAAGTAACTGGAAAAAAGGGTTAGAAGGAATGTCTTTTTTGAATTTTTGATATTTCCCGCCTTTTTGCTCTCTTTAGTGACGCTTTGGAAGCTTTGGTCCATTTGCGCCATCTCTAGGGACGCCTTCGAACTAAATGGTAAATTTTTCTCTTCTTAAAAGAAAAAATTATTTAATATTAATTAATACATTCAAAATTTAATATTTTAATCGAATAATTATTTAATATTTAATTAATAGTTACAAAATTGATGGAAAGAAAAATGGCTGAAAATCTAACAGATTAAATCAGTTTATACTTCTCGTGCGCTGTATTGAATTTTGTAAACATAATTTTCGACTGTATAGGTTTATAATGAAGTCGTTTATCGTTTAATCTTGAGCCAGTGTGTTTAAAGTCTGAAAGCCAGGAGTTAAAATCATCGAGGGAAGGAGAGCTATTTGAAAGAAAGACCACCCACTCGTTTTCTTCAACTGATCAGGCGTGAACCTGCTTAAAGGTAATCTAAAGAGGGCATTAGCTCCCGGAGTCTTCTCGCGATAGTAAGACGCGTGCTCACTGCGCTTCTAAAAGGGTTAATTGTGTTTTTATCCAAACGGCAGTTCGATCAGACTTTGATTTCTCATTTCAGATCTTTCGTTTCCAATTCTAAAAGAAAAGAGAAAAAGATAACTCTCTAATTTATTATGTACCTTTTTACTATCATATTTATATATTCCCGGTTTTTCTGTCCCAATAGCGTGATAAGCTGAGAATTTTTATTTTTTATTTTCAAGTAAAAAAAAAAATAAAAGGAAAAAGTATTTTTTTTAATGACGAGAACTTGTTTCTAGCACCATTTATATTGACATTTATTAGTTGTAATAATCATTTTATCTGTTTCACATTATTTGTAAATGTAATTATAGTTACTAATTTATTATGTACCTTTTTACTATCATATTTATATATTCCCGGTTTTTCTGTCCCAATAGCGTGATAAGCTGAGAATTTTTATTTTTTATTTTCAAGTAAAAAAAAAAATAAAAGGAAAAAGTATTTTTTTTAATGACGAGAACTTGTTTCTAGCACCATTTATATTGACATTTATTAGTTGTAATAATCATTTTATCTGTTTCACATTATTTGTAAATGTAATTATAGTTACTTACGTTACGGAAGCATTTAGAAACGAAATTTTATGACTCATACCTGAAACATAAAAATACTTGAAGTCAGTTTCGAAATATTTCTTTTATTTACGATATGATATTTAGTAGTGAGTAAAAATTTTATCTTCTATATTGAAAACGTGCATTAATAATTTTTAGTCTGTAATGATAAAGTAATCGTGTTTCTTTTCTTTTTTGATATTTATTCAAGATGCGTTTCTTGGTTGATATTTTACGTGTTGTAGTATTGAAATTAAATATTCCCGCTTCTTGCATATCGAGCGGGAGATGGCGCTCATGCGGCGAACCCAGCAGACGACATTGCGAGAAGCGAGAATGGAATAAGCGACAATGATTTAGAATAATTAAGAATTAAGTAATAATAATTAAGAATAAAAAAATGTTTATTAAGAAAATTAAATATTCTAATTGTTTTGTTATTAAAATTTCAGAATGTGGGCAGATTTGTGACTTACGGGAACTCGAAACCACTACTGTGTCTATATTCCTCTTCTGTTATTATCAACATTGCTACATTTTCGGTGAGTTTTTGTTTGTTTAATTTGATATCTTATCTACTCTTCTTTTTTTCATGTTTCTTAAAAGAAAATTTATCTTTTTTATATTTGAATTATCTTTTTTTTGAATTAAATAAAAAAAATGTCTAATGTGATTGTGGCTGCACGGTTTAAGTAGCAACAAGTTTTCGCAAACGTCGTTAGGTTCGAATCCCCTTAGGAAAAAATTTTTTCCACTATTAATTTTAATTTTATCTGCACACATATTTCAGTGAGAAGTCTAATGAAAGTAATATTAATAATTTTTACTATTATTGAATGATTACTACTATGGTTAATATTATTACTATTATTATTATTTCTTTTTTTATTACTATCAGCATTGAAAACATTATTTTCAAGATTATGTCCTTTATAGACATATTTTTCAAGGGTTCATCATTTAATCATGACACATGTCGTGTTCAAGTGGAATAGGGTGACTTTAATCGCAAATCTCTTTGATCGCGGTCGTGCTCTTTTTAATCGTAAAGCGGAAAATCGCGTCGCGAGCCGGAAATGGAAAGGGTTTTCGATACAGAGAACAGAGTTTACTCTCTCTTTCTCTCTCTCTCTCTCTCTTTGCATGGTTGTAAAGTACAATCTCGTCTAGATAGACAGCTTCAGGATGTCTGATAGGACACCCCCCGCAGTGTAGATGTAGGAAAGCCTTTGTCGTTCTCTTTCGAACGCTCACGCAATATTTTAAATCGACGCGCTTTGCGTTTGTATTTATATTGTAAACGTTGTTCGATCTTTTTTGCAAATGTTATTTTTTCCCCTTTCCAAAAAAAGTAGCCTGGAAATACGAAAAGAATTTAATTAAATACTGTAACGGACACGCCAGGAAAGAAAAAGAGTGAAATGACGGTCTAATGAATTAGTTTTCATTTGGGGAGTTTGTTTTTTCCCCTCTCTTTCTGGCCCTCTGTGGGGACGATATAAAAATTTTGGCTTCTTTGCGCCATCTTCAGGGACGCCGTGGAAGTTTACGTTTCGGGAAAATTGGCCCTCTGCAGGGACGCCTCGGAACCTTGAGCGCTATCTTCAGGGACGCTTGGTGAAACAATTACTTCCTTATAAAGAATTATTATTTATTCTTTATTTGTTTATTTATTATTATTATTATTATTATTGCTTCCTCATAAAGGAACACTGTTAAAAATGTTCTGAATATTCCGATAAAATTCAGACACAAATGTAACAAAATTTTCCAAATGATGGTACTGAAAGCATTTATATGTTACATTTGCTTGAAATTTACTACACGTTTCTTATGATTTCTAAATGTTACTCAAAATTCAAAATTTTTAGTAAAAATCCTTATGAGTAACGGAATTTTAACTTCAGCCAAACTAAAATCAGTAACTAGTTAAGGAAATTTAATGAAATGTAACTGAAAATTTGGGAATAGTTTCAAAAAGTATAAAGAGTAACTGAAAATTACGAAACTGTAACAAAATTTTCAGTTACCACAGCTGAATTAAGATGCGCACAATTACTTTCGCGCCGCTTGGGTCTGTTGCAGGAAATACATAACTGAAAATGCCCTTCGAAAAAGTGGTTGTGCGTAGAAAATGTTTCATTGTATAAAGTTATTTAAATAAGTAAAAAAGTGTTATAAATTATTTTTAAAGTTTCATAAGTGATCATTCTTGGGATTAAAAAGTTGAAGCATATTTCCACATATAAAAAGTATGTACAAAATCTATTTTTATTCATGCTCCATTACACGTACTAGATATTTTTGAAGAAAAATCTTCCTGCAAAATGGAATGTCCATGATAGGAACCAGTACCGTAACTATGATGAGCTTATTGATATTCAGAGCAATCAAAGTTATGATACTTTTGATACTTTATTAATAAATGAATGATTAATATTATTTGATTGAATAAATAATTTTGTGCATAAAAAGTAAGAAATAAATATTATTTATATTATTTACCAGTTGTTTTTTGATTAAATTTATTTATAAACCATAAATAAATAATTTTTAAACAATAACATTATTATTAAATATTTTTAAGTTTAAATAATTTTTTACTGAAAATCTAGTGGGATAGAAAAAATTGTGAGACAAACTTAGAAATAATGAAGTTATACATATTAAATTGTACTTTGTATTTTAATGTAAATTATGTTCGCTATCACTGATGAGTGTCATTAAAATTTATTGTTTCAGTTTTGTTCAGTTCTGATTATTAAGCAATATGTAACATTTGAGTTACATATTATTGTTTAATAATCAAAACTGGAAAAAGCGGTAGCAAAATTTTTAGTAAAAATAAAAAAATTCAAGCTATGACATGTTATGAAATATTATGAAACTAAAAAAAAATTTCGGAAAGGAGCAACAGCAAGTTTAAGCTGTAACGTGATACAAAAATTTAATTATTTTTAAAAATTTATGCTGTAATGCTTTTAATATTCAATTATTATCAAAAATTTTAACTTAAATTCATTTTGAAATAAATTTTTATAAAAAAATTCTACGAGAACTCAATTATAAATACAAAAATAAATATAATTTATTAAATTTTCATAAAATTTAATTATTATAAGGAGCTTAATCAAAATTGATTAAAATTGAATTCTTTTGAAGAATTTTAATAAAATTTCCAAGAATTAATTGCATTTTTCGAATCTGTAACATATTTTTCAATAAGGTATGTAACGGAAGTATTATTGTATTGCGTGTTCCAGAAATTTACGAAATTGTAACATAATTTCCAAAATAAGCAACTGAAGTTTTCTGCAGTTACGTGTTCCAGAAATTTACGAAACTGTAACAAAATTTCCAAAATAAGCAACTGAAGTTTTATGCAGTTACGTGTTTCGTAAAATTACGAAACTGTAACAAAATTTTCAGTGACTTGTGATTAAAGATTTATGCAGTCACATGGTTCTGAAAATTATGAAATGTTTCAAAATTTTACGTAAAACGTAACTGCAGAAAACTTCAGTTGCTTTTTTCTGAAAATTCCAACAAAAATTTCTAACAGTGAAGCCTTATAGTGATGTCGATTTCCGAATTTTTTTGAGTCAATTATTTTTACAAATTTTCAAGTGTAGTATATATAATTCGTCGAGAGGAACAAATGTCCGGATGTATGTGTGTATGTGTGTGTGTATGTATGTATGTATGTATGTATGTATGTATGTATGTATGTATGTATGTATGTATGTATGTATGTGTGTGTGTGTGTGTGTGTGTGTGTGTGTGTGTGTGTCACCGATTCTTGTGGACAAATTTTCTCTTACACGTCTTGATGGATTTTGATAAAATTTTGTAGGTGTATTACGGTCATGAATACCAAAAATCAGACAGAAGGATTTTCAAAAATATCTAAAAAAAAATTTTTTTTCAACAATTTTTTAATTTTTGAAAAAATTAATTTTTGGATTTTTTGAAATAACTTTCTTCTATATTAAAATTTTTATTAATTGTTGTCAAAATTGCATTCCTGACATAAAAACGAATCGATTCATGTATATAAAGTATATATTTTATCAAAATTTATAGAATTAATAAATATTTTAATTTTTCACAAAAAATTGAAATTTTGTATTTTTTGACATTTTATCATAACACTTTAAAATAATTATTCTAAAATAAAAAATTAAACAATTGGTATATATTATATTGAGGAAGCTTAATGATCATGAAATGAACAACTTATTATTATTATTATTATTATTATTATTTGAAAAACGATTTTTCTAAACGTTTTGGTTTAAGAAGAAAATAATTGTCAAGAGTAAAGTAGAATATAAAAATAAATAAAGTAAAATAAGCATAAATAAGAAAATTCATTTTAAGAAAGATCAACAAAATTTAATTATTTCAATAAAATAAATAAGAGAGAATAAGAAACGATAAGAAAAGATAAAGGATAAGAGAAATAACTTTACTTTAAATTTAAAATTAAGAATACACTTTTTATTTTTCTTAAAATTTTACATAAATCTTAACATAGTTTTTGTTTGTTTTTTTGTTGGTAACATATATTCGTAACATTGAATTAAGATTAAATTGGCAAAAAGAAAAAAACCGGGAACATTATGTTATTTTCCTTGAAACTCTTTTTGAAATGATCTCGGAATTCTTTGTGCGCGATACATTGAGGTGCCATCAAGAGCTTCAAAGGGTAAAAAATCGAGTAGTAGAAGGACACCGCGCCTCTGAAACTCGTTTCTTATCGAAAACCCTTTCTTGGCCTTACAGCTCACCACAAGAAGAAGAAGAAGAAGAAGTAGAAAAAAAGACGAAGAAAACAAAATAAATGAAAATAAATCGAAACCCTAAGAGCGCACGCTTTTCGAGCGCAACAAGGAATTCTCTTCGATATCGAGACCCGGACGGTTGACTTAATCCCAAGGACAAAAATTGCAATTAATTTTTGATTTTTAAGTTTTTTTGAATCTTGCGATTTAATTTCCTGTGGTTAAAAATATTTCTTAGAGATAATAATAAGAAAAGATAAATAAGGGACAAAAATTATTAAATAGAAAAAGTTTTTTATTGCTCTGAGTTGAATATGAATTTAATGGAGTAATAAAAATGAGAAATATCTTTGTCTTAAGTAATAGATCTCAAATTTTTATTTGAAATCAGTGAAAGAAGGCTTGAATTTTTCTTTCGGTTGAATAACTCTTCTTGTCTCTCATTCATTGTAGAATGGCATTTTCCGTCTCGAAGCTTTCGAAACGAGAGTCAAATTGAAGCTTTTATAAAGGAGACAAAATATTTGTTCTTTAAAGAGTCGAGATTATTTTTTTCACGAAATTTACTTAATAGTGTGGAATTTTCAGGGAGAGAATGGGGAAATTTTTTTTTTCTTTAATAGCATGCACGCGACCATTGGGACCACACGTGCGCAATAATGGTTATAGTGAGTGGGCGTGCGGTACTGGTAACCGCACACTGGTCCAGGGTAGATTTTTCTCTCTCTCTCTCTTTCCCTTTCTGTATACGTTTCTAT